CCACACCACTGCACACTGTTCGGCTCCTCTTTCACCACTGCAGTCTGCTCTGCTCCACTCTGACTCAGTACACACACCACTGCACACCACTCTGCTCCACTCTGCTCTGCTCCCCTCACTCCAGTCCACACCACTCCACTCCTCTTTACACCACTGCACACTGTTCCGCCTCCTCTCTACTCGAGTCTGCTCTGCTCCACACTCCAGTCCCACATCCACCTCTTTACACCACTGCACACTGTTCCGCCACTTTCTTCTCCATCTGCTGCTCCACACCGCTCCTCCTTCACACACACCACTATCCTACACCCTCTCCACGCTGCTCCACGCTGCTCCACTATCCTACACCCCTCTCCACGCTGCTCCACTCCTCTCCACTATCCTACACCCCTCCACGCTGCTCTTCTCTTCCTCCACTGCCTTCTTCTCCGCTCCACTACTCTCTATTCAATGCTGCTCCGCTCCACAAAACACCGCTCTGCTCCACACAGCTTCTCTCCCCCCTGCTCCACACAGCGCCACACCGCTCCTCTTCACCCCGCTCCACTCAAAAATTGCCAGTCGACGAAATACCTTAGTTGTGCGTGCAACGTTAAATTAAGCAAATAACTACTACTCCACTCGAAAGTTTGATGAAGTCGTGTTTCATCTTGTTATCTTATTTGAGAAGTTATGTCATGAGATATTTGTTCTGTCATACAGTGGTACTGTCAAGTAACTATCTGCCTCAGCTGAATCAAAGCCTATAACATCATGTTCATTTGTCACCGAGATAACACAAACAAGTTGATGACTAATGTTGTCAGACAAAAGAATTCTACTGTGAACATCTACTGTTTGAAATGAAAATGGGGAAAAGTTTTCTGATGTTACCATTTTAAGGGAGAGAAAAGTGTCCAAATGACTTTTTGTTTCATACTGAATGTAATCGTGACTAAAAAATGTTACCTCCGATCCACTGAAGAGAGTGTGTTATACTTCCAGATATTTTAGGAGGTGGTCAATAACAGAGTCAATAACAGTCTTGGACTCTACATATACATTAACGAAGATAGTCCTTTACTTATAATATTCTGCATTAAATTTTGGAAGCCCACTTCTGGTGTCCCCCGCTGTGATATTGCTAAAAACGCTGTAGAACTCAACCCTCAAACACACACACACACACACACACACACACACACCACCCTTCTCTTCCTCCCCCTTCCCTCTCTGTGGGGTTATTATTGACTATGAATCATTTTGGTACCCCTAGGATTCCAATAACAAGTTAAAACTTGGGGTGTTACAAACATTTACTTCCCCTGTCCTCCCCTGCACGTTCAGCCTCCTGAATCATCAAGCTTTGTCAGTGACCTGTAGCCTCAGATGCATACTCACTCACTCACTCACTCACTCATAGTGGATGTTCTCTATGATGTCTTGTGTTGTTAACCAGACCAAGTATATATTAAAGCACAGTGGAGCCATCTTACCTATACATATGGATATAAAATAAAAATATGTTTTTAAACTGTGAACAAACAGAGCAGAAAATAAGCAATATTCCTCTTCCGGTACTGACTATACAAACTGTTAAATTTTATGGATGAGTTTGTCTTTCATACATTCAAACTGTTATACTTAAATTTGATTGGAAAAGAGTTTGGTGAGTGTGCTGCATGTGGGGTATTTTTTTTATGGTAAAAGAAACATTGTTAAATGGATTTGAAACTCAAAATCACATGGATTTTTCCCAGCATTTCCTGTGCAGGTCCTAACCTGGTTCATTCTGACCATAATGCTATAGGGGCTGGTCACATGACCCCTATGAAACCCATACCATACATTACAGATTAGACTAAGGCTTAGTCTCTGAATATATATAATGTTGATAGTAACAAACAAGCCCATTTATATTGAAAAGGAGCCCTAGGGTACATTACAGATGTAAGGAAAGCTTCTGGAAATGTGCATTCAACAATATGACTAAAATACATCAAAACCAAAACATAATGACTATAGCCATGTGAAGTTTTCCGTGGTTTTTTAACTGTGTTTCAGCACCCCCATATTAGAATTGATCTGCAGTAACCAATGCTTGTCAGTAAGAGGTGACTAACAGGACCTGGTGGTCAGACTCGCTGACTTGGTTAACATTGTGATCATATCCCAGTTGCGTAGATCGATGCTCATGCTGTTGATCACTCGATTATTTACAGACCGCCACCATATAGCTGGACTATTGCTGAGTGCGACATAAAACTAAACTCACTCACTCACTCAGCAGCCTCATATATTTCATGACCAATGTCAAAAACTCTAGTACCACATAGAATTGTCTCCAGCAACCTGTGCTTGTCATAAGGGCCAAATAATGGGATCGGGTATTGCTGAATTAGTTGATACAAGTCACCGTTTCCCAGTTAAGTGGATTGATGCTCATGATGTCAATCCCTGGATTGTCTGGTCCAGATTTATTTCCTGAGTGCTTTGTTACACAACAAACCAAACAGAATGGTATCAACAGAATTATAGCAGACCCTTGGCAAAGTCCATGCGCTCACATTTAACCTGAATGGATTTTGCACAGAAAGATTCCAAATGCATTTTTGAAGTCCTTAGTATATGACATCTGTCACTGCAAACCAGGACTTTGACATATTTCAAAGATTTAAATGAGTACTTACAATACAACCCTAATTCCTAAAATATTTATTGGCTATCCAAAGGATATGTATACATTTGTTATGCACTGTATAATCTCAATACCAAATGTAAAATCGCGTAGCGTTTGGCTTGGTGAAATGGATGCCACATACATAATGTATTAAGTTTGGTAAATATTTCAAAGGTAAACTTTGATTTGTTCTTTTCTCCACATTCAGTGGAAATGGAGGTTCAGTTGCCATGGAAGCATGAGGTCATGAATTCTACCATGACGTCATGCATAAAATGTCGTGTTCCTCATACAGTTGTGCAGAACATTACTGATTTCTGGAATGAATGAATGAATTTGTTGGCATTATGATCCTGGCTTGTTTTTGTTAACTGTTTGATGTGTAGAAAGTGTATTAGTTATATATGCATTTTTTTAACATGTATGAGTGCTTTTCTAAAGAAAATTAGTAAAATCCAAATATACTTGAAAACATTTTGTTTTCATTTTGTCATTTGTCACTGGCAGATTTGTAAAGGAAATTTGTGAAGCATGCATAAATGACATCAGGAAAGAAATTCTATTTGAGGCCAGTGCTAATCATATGCTATTTATGTTGTGTTATTTACACGGTTTATGATTTCCCACAATGTAATAATCATGTATAATTATGCTGTATGGTCAAAATCCTACATTAGATGCAGCAAAGGTAGTTATAGGTGCCATGTTTAATAGCTGCAAGAAAAGTGTTTTCTCCACTGTTCTGCTTCTAATTGTTTTGATTATTCTCAGTTGTTGTCAATTGACTTGTCACATCATACTTGTCACTTAACCAATCATCCGTCAGTCAAGATCATAATTGACCAATCAGAGCTATTGATACTGGCATGTGACGGACCAGGTAGCATGGGTTGCTATGGTAACTGGACATTTTGGTGTCCAACTGGGCAGCTTCTGGGCAAAAGGATGACTCATTCATCTCAATATAACTTTCACACACCTACCCTCTAACAGCATAATGAACTCCTCCAATATCTGGTCAGTCCAATTATTGATTGGAGGGTGTGGGTGACAGTGTCAACTCAAGTCAGTCCACAGTGCTTTGATGTTCACAAAGTCTCTCTTTTATAGATAATTAGAGACCTCCTAAAAGGAATTTATTCATATCAGATATTTTATGGCACATCATGAGGCAAATTGTGGCTATTAAGAAATCCCAGTGTCAGTGGAATGCACATTTTCTGATCATATTGTTTCTTTGAAAGAAAGGACAACTGCAGAATCTTGATCATCTGCATTAAATGAAGGCAATCTCATGCATTTCTCCCTATTGTTATGTATTAGTGGTATTCATTCAGTGTTTATCTTTGCATTATGCTTCGAGTTTTAGGCGGAAGATATAGGTCTCATTTTGTCTGTGCATTGAAATTGACATTTAGTCACTCAGAGGTTATCTCCCTTGTTTTTATAAACTTTATGGATATATTAAGTTTGATGTTTTTCAATCAAGGCATTGTATTATGAGATTTCTATATTCCTTCTTTGGTATTAAAAGAAGAGGAGAAAGCTTCAAAAGAGGACATTAATGTTTTTGTTTGTCATGGTGTATTGGAATTTGTGATTATCGTTATTACAATTTGGACCAGGGTTGAATGATCAAAGCTCAGCAAAACATTCTGAAAGTTTGAATATTCTGTTGATTAACTCTCATGCTAGGAGTCCTTTGATGGACACATTATTCATCTCAAAATGCTGTTTGATGTGAAATGTTTTCCTACTGGGATTTTACAAGTGCTTCTTTTGTTTTCAATAGCCAACACAGGGCAACAACATCTTCAAACTCTGCTGACTCCATGTATTGTGTCAGTTGATGTTGCTGTATTGTTCCTGCAGGGAATGTATCAGAGGAATTATCCAATAACGGTCTAGAATTCATGGTTCCAAGAGATTAATTTTTTACTGTTGACAGGTTTTACTGTAACTAAGTTCACTGTCATTTCACAATTCAGGCTTGTTCACTAACCCACGCAACTAAACTGAGCTGAACACTGACTAATACACATGAAACACCTACCTGATTAACACACATCTAAAACAAGCACCTGCTTGACTGACTAACACACATCTAAAACAAGCACCTGCTTGACTGACGTACACACATCTAAAACAAGCACCTGCTTGACTGACGTACACACATCTAAAACAAGCACCTGCTAGCACCCCGACTGACTAAGCAAGCACCTGCTTGACTGACGTACACACATCTAAAACAAGCACCTGCTTGACTGACGTACACACATCTAAAACAAGCACCTGCTTGACTGACGTACACACATCTAAAACAAGCACCTGTCTGTTGCAGTAGATCCTGCAGTCTGGTGATGTCAGCTGGGAATGGCGTCAAGGCTGTCCACTCCTTGGCCACACAGTTCCACCTGTCTGTCAACCATGTTCAAGGTAATGTTACCCTGTCAACCCAAGGTTAACTGCTGTTAAACATTCAATCCCTGGACATTTGTTTGTTGTTAAACACTGAAGGCAGCAATATGATTGTGGTTAATTGAGTCAGTGATTGATATCATGAGCAGCAGTCCACACAAGACAAAGTGACCTGCTGTCAACCAAGTCAATCCATAGAGTCACCTCTTATAAGCAGCAGAGATTGCTGGGGACCTGTATTCTTACCCAGAATTTGCATGGGTCCAGTAATAACCCTCAGTGTTTATCTCTGTGAAATATGCTGTGATACTTTACATGGATGTTGCTCTCATTGGATGAAAATGAAATATTACCTAGAGATAAGACAGAGGGGCTTGTAACTCTAAAAACAAGCATCAAGGCTCATATAGTCAATAATGGGGTATTAGTACTATATAAGCTAGGGTGACATGCAATTTTATCATTGGTAATTTTGTAAATGAATCTTTGGGATTGAACAAGAGAAAAAAGGTGTTAAAGTAGTTGAAGAAATGCAACGAAGTAGTTGTTGTTCAAAGAGCATAAATTTGTAAGAAACATGACATATTTGGGTAATTGTCCAGCAATGTCCACTTCAAAAGGCCAGACAACTATGCACCTCCAACTAGTGCTGGGAATTGGTCAAAATCTCATAATTGATGATTGGTTCATTACAACCGATCAATCATCAAAAATAATTGGTTAGCGTCATTTATGAAATTTTCCTGATTATTTTTGTTAATGGACAAAAAAAATAAAGAAAAAACCCTGTAGTTCTTTGGTGTTTTTGCAAATTGCACAAAAGGCATTGGCAAATTTCACATCTTTGAAGGATGACTAGTAGGTTAGGAACATTAATTTCTTGGAGTCTTGAAGATAAATTCAACCATGACTTGGAACGAGCTTGTAGTGGTCATGAAATGTAACAGACCAAATATTGTTAATGCAAACAAGTGTTCCAGAATTGTTTGTGTTTGATTATGAGAAAACATGATCGATTGCTTGGTCGTTTAGTCACTGCGACCAATCTTCGATTATTTCAATTAATCGGACCACCACTACCTCCGACACAGGTTCCAGCCAGCAACCCCTACAGCCTGTACTTGACCTGGCCACAGAGGTGGATCAATGAGAACAGTTTGACCACCTCTGCATGTGTTGGCATCAACTTTTGCCTTTACAGATATATTGTAACTTAGTTCCATATTCTTGCAAACACTATTAGCTACATAGCCTTGAGACACTGTTTCTATGGAAATTCTCAAACCTATATATTTTGTTGTAGCCTGCAAAGACTCTCCAATGGATTTTTTGTTGAGCACCCCAGTGACGGATGGAGCAAAGCTGTGTGTCACCTACACCATGGACAGTTCTGTCATCAGAGTTCGACACCTGCAGCTTGAGACACCTGCTGGAACATCTGACTGAGACTGTGACACCTACACCATGGACAGTTCTGTCATCAGAGTTAGACACCTGCAGCTTGAGACACCTGCTGGAACATCTGACTGAGACTGTGACACCTACACCATGGACAGTTCTGTCATCAGGGCTAGACACCTGCAGCTTGAGACACCTGCTGGAACATCTGACTGAGACTGTGACACCTACACCATGGACAGTTCTGTCATCAGAGTTAGACACCTGCAGCTTGAGACACCTGCTGGAACATCTGACTGAGACTGTGACACCTACACCATGGACAGTTCTGTCATCAGAGTTAGACACCTGCAGCTTGAGACACCTGCTGGAACATCTGACTGAGACTGTGACACCTACACCATGGACAGTTCTGTTAGACACCTGCAGACTTGAGACACCTGCTGGTTAACACCTAGACTGAGACTACACCATGGACAGTTCTGTCATCTACAGGTTAGACACCTGCAGCTTGAGACACCTGCTGGAACATCTGACTGAGACTGTGACACCTACACCATGGACAGTTCTGTCATCAGGGTTAGACACCTGCAGCTTGAGACACCTGCTGGAACATCTGACTGAGACTGTGACACCTACACCATGGACAGTTCTGTCATCAGAGTTAGACACCTGGAACTTGAGACACCTGCTGGAACATCTGACTGAGACTGACACCTACACCATGGACAGTTCTGTCATCAGAGTTAGACACCTGCAGCTTGAGACACCTGCTGGAACATCTGACTGAGACTGTGACACCTACACCATGGACAGTTCTGTCATCAGGGTTAGACACCTGCAACTTGAGACACCTGACTGAGACTATGACACCTACACCATAGACAGTTCTGTCATCAGGGTTAGACACCTGCAACTTGAGACACCTGACTGAGACTGACACCTACACCATGGACAGTTCTGTCATCAGGGTTAGACACCTGCAACTTGAGACACCTGCTGGAACATCTGACTGAGACTGACACCTACACCATGGACAGTTGTCATCAGGGTTAGACACCTGCAGCTTGAGACACCTGCTGGAACATCTGACTGAGACTGTGACACCTACACCATGGACAGTTGTCATCAGGGTTAGACACCTGCATCTTGAGACACCTGCTGGAACATCTGACTGAGACTGTGACACCTACCTGACACCTGAATTCTATCATCAGGGTTAGACACCTGCATCTTGAGACACCTGCTGGAACACCTGACTGAGACTGACATCATAGACAGGGTTAGACACCTGCATCATCTTAGACACCTGCATCTTGAGACACCTGACTGAGACTGACACCTACACCATAGACAATTCTGACATCAGAGTTAGACACCTGCATCTTGAGACACCTGACTGAGACTGACACCTACACCATGGACAGTTGTCATCAGGGTTAGACACCTGCAGCTTGAGACACCTGCTGGAACATCTGACTGAGACTGACACCTACACCATGGACAGTTGTCATCAGGGTTAGACACCTGCAGCTTCTTGAGACACCTGCTGGAACATCCATGGACCAGTTGTCATCAGGGTTAGACACCTGCATCTTGAGACACCTATGTGAACACCTGACTGTGACTGACACCTATACCAGGGACAGTTCTATCAGGGTTAGACACCTGCATCTTGAGACACCTGACTGAGACTGACACTTACACCATAGACAATTCTGACATCAGAGTTAGACACCTGTATCTTGAGACACCTGACTGTGACTGACACCTATACCAGGGACAGTTCTATCATCAGGGTTAGACACCTGTATCTTGAGACACCTATGTGAACACCTGACTGTGACTGACACCTATACCAGGGACAGTTCTATCATCAGAGTTAGACAGCTGCATCTTGAGACACCTGCTGGAACACCTGACTGATACTATGACACCTACACCATAGACAGTTCTGACATCATGGTTAGACACCTGCAGAAACACATGACATGACGTGGGTGTTGTCAAGTTGAGGAAACATAACACATGTTATGAAAATGGGATATTCATGCAGGCAGAGTTAAAGAAGAAGAGTTTTCAACTCAGTACCAATGATGGATGTATGGTTGACAGACAGAAACACAAGCGAAAAACTCAGGTCACATCATGTAGGGTGTGCTGGCATAAAGTGCTCTTATTTGGCCCAAATCATCAATACGGAAAAATAAATTCATATAAAAATAATATAATAGATACTGGAGAGTATGGATTTATTTCTGTGACACTATGTAAGTCTTACATTTATTGGCAACATGAAAAAAAAGTATTCGCTAATGATTTACATAATTTAAATATGTCATTAGCTTGAAGTTCAGATATATTAGAAACATTTATGTCATTGTGATTAATATATGTGTATTTATAAAGTTGATTACTGACATTTGTACATTGTCAATCAGACAACATCCTAAACATCTTATACAAATAAATAGACAACAATTTTACTCTGAATTCTTTCTGAAAACTGGTTCAGAAGGCTGAGTTGTCCAAGGCATCACAGTGCAGAGTTGCTTCCCTTGGGCTTGCCAGAAACCTATGTTCATTGGTTTGACTCCTGGTCATGTGTCTTGGTTTGTCAGCTTCATACCAGTCCTTGTGCGTTTAACCAAAGTCGTCAACAGCTGAGATATGTATCACTTCGGGCTTCCTCACACATAATACTGATACGGAATTATATATCTGGGTGAGTGAGTTTTGTTTTACGCCGCACTCAGCAATATTCCAGCTATATGGTGGCAGTTTGTAAATAATAGAGTCTGGACCAAACAATCTAGTGATCAACAGCATCAGCATCAATCTACGCAATTGAGATACAGTGACGTGTGTCAACCAAGTCAGCAAGCCTGATCACCCGATCCCGTCAGTCGCCTTTTACAAGAAGTATGGGTTACTGAAGGTCATTCAAACCCTGATCTTCATGGGTATTATATATCTGGCGTACAAACAGTTTTGTTAAAACCCGACACTCACTCACCCATTCTTCTTGAACAGTACTGGATCAATACAATAAATAAACAGAATTACTTAAAACGCTGATTTGATGTGCTGTTGACAAGTGCATTTCAACTACTTTGCTCTAACAAGATAAATGTACTGCAACCAGTACTGAATGTCCATTAAAAAAAACCCCCAGAAATCCATACCTTATCTGTCTTCACTGAAGCTCTTCTAAATACCACTGGAAGGCACAGTAGTTGTTTGCCCTGTATGTCACACTGAAGGTTCCCTGGAACTTGGTGAACAGATTGTTAAATAATTCACTGCTTCACCTTGGGGCTGACCTGTCCATACAGTTGTATCCTTTGGAGGAACAGCTATTTTGCCAAACACACAGGGAACTATTGGTCTCACAAGCAACAATGATTGTATCCCGTTCCAGACTGGCATTATGCTGAGCTTTGTATCTTATTATTTAGCACCAGCTTTGCAGTATGTGTCTGGAAGGGTAATGTCATTGGCTTCTGCACAAGCTGTGGCACTGTGTCTGATCAGGCCAACAGAACAAAACACCATGTCACATTGAAACCACTTTTGAATTCTGTTAAAAGGTATTTTTTCATAACATGAAACTGTTTTACTAAGATTTAAACCATGTGCAGTGTTTGTTTGTCAGTACAGCCTGGTTCTTGTGTGAGAGACATTCACGAATTTCCACACCTGAGCCCTACTTGCACTGGTTTTACTGTAATTAGCTCCAAGTTAGATGTGATGACGTTTCTCTGGGTCTGACCTAGGACGCTGATTAACTTTATATGTTGTTAACGTCTTGATTCCGAAGTTGAATCTAAACGTTAACCGGAAATCAGTAATAGAACTTGGTGGGAAAACAACCACATATACAATGTATTACACTTTGGATTTTCTTACATAATAAATAAATAACACTGCCACTTGATAGCAAAAGCAAGACACCATTATCGCACACACGAATCGTCAATGTGTCATGGCATGAACCTTCAGCTATATTAGTTAAAAAGCATGGCTGCTAAAAGCTGATACGATTGCCGATCAGAGGTATGTGCTCAAATCTTTGAAGGGCATTTAGAAGTGGAATGCATAAGAAAAGCAAGATTTATGCATGTCAAATTCTTTATTGTGAATAACACAAACGTCGGAGGAAAAACAAGATGAATGAACAAGAATACACCCTGAAATGTGTTATTCACAATAAAGAATTTGACATCCCAACATCATGCTTTTCTTGGCTACATGCTGCCCACCTTTGAGTCTACTCAGACCTGTATTTCTTGAATGTCATCAAGACCTCTTAAATGTAATTGTTCAAACAAAACAGCAAATAATCTTACCCATGCAAGGTAGTTATGGTCATTTTGTACAACGGCATCCAGGCCGTTAATGGCCCAGTCTAAGTAAACTTAGTCTCAGTATTATTCGTTACCCTACTGTACTGAGTAGAGGAGTGTAACGAATAGTACTGAGACTAAGTTTACTTAGACTGTTAATGGCCAAAATTATGCTAATCAGCTTGACAATATCAGGCTTTAAGTAATGGAAACGTCCCTTATGATGTGTTTTTCCACCAGGAGAATACATCCATGCAAAGTCTTGTTGCTATGCTGTTGCAAAGGATTATTTTGCCTTTGAACACCTTGAGAACCCTCTCATGCTGTCGATCACTGGATTGTCTGGTACAGACTCAAATACTTACACACTGCTGTTACTGAATGCGGCGTTAACAACAAACTAAAAGACTTGAACACCCTTCCTCTTCACCAGATTGGGTTGATTTCTGTCTCCCTAACCCCATGAAACTGTCTGGCCAGGATCGTTGTTATGACGTCATTTCTGCTGTTGTTTTCTCCACTTGTTTTCTCATTACTGTCAACCCATGATGACAAAATTTGGATGCTTATAATATTATAATACATTGTCATGATGCGTCGTAATAACAACGACAAACCCTTATCTTTGACGGTAGAAGAGTGACAGTCAATATAACAATTCAGTCCCGATTATGAGGATGACTTTATCAATCACCATCAAATATATTCATATATAAGCTATGAAGTGAAGCTCAACGCTCAGTCAGAATGTTCGGCCGGGAGTAGAAGACCTCTTTTGTCCTGAATACAATGCAATCCATTACAATTACAAAAAATGGAATATAGTTTGATCGCCATCATAGCAAAATGCATCATTAAACGTCATGGGAAGTGAGTTAACGTGTGCCCTTCTTCACTCCCCACAGTCTCAAGTGTATACTCAGACTTATATAAGGTCAGTCGACCCTCCTGACGTTGCCCACGTCGTCAGATCCACTAAAACAAAGATTCGTGGACTATTGTTACATCCACCCTGATAACACACGTGTACATTGCCCATATGTACTCCCTAGCCTAGTGTTTCACTTAGGTTTCGTGTCCTCACGGGTAGGTTCCGAGCCTTCGCTCTTGATCAGCCCCAAACTTCGGCCTTCAATGTTCAATGCCAGTGTCACTTAACAAGCCTATGCTCCATCCTGTACGTAACGCCAGAAGATGATAAGGCAGAATTTGCTGGCCTTGGTTAATGGAGTGCAGGGTTCAGGGCAAGAAAGTTTAATCATCCATGTATGGTATGGAACAATAACATCATGTTATAATATACAGATAAGTATGTTCTTATCTATCCTCCAACTGCTGGTTGTAACGCATATGTTCACTTGACTCAATGTGTTCAACAACAATCACCATTAAAATGTGTAACCTCTTCAACCTATAAGTGATTTAATGGGCATCAACACGTCTATAAACACTCGTGATTACACAGAAATGATTTACTGTAGATTCTTCCATCTATTTAATTCTCACCTGTGCTTCTCAGACCCATATTGCAAAGCTGGTCAGTCGTTGCAGGTGCAAAATAATAAGAAAGGTCAACTTAATGCCAGTTAGCTGTCTGAGACGGGATACAATCATTGTTGCTTGTGAGACCAATCTGTTCAAATGAAATGACATTCCCTACATAACCACATCATTTGCACAGACGACCTTGGGATCTGAGGTCCACAGTCCGATATGGATGGTAACGTCCTCTCAGCGTGTCACAAACCTCTAATTGTGAGTTCGAATCCTAGAATCCGCTGATCACCTTTCCTGGACTGTCGGTACCATGCCCGTGCTCTCGAATCTCCTCCGCCTGAACCATCACATCAAGCTGGCACGCTTTCATACAACCGAATATTGTTCAAAGCGGTATCGAATTACACAATGCCAATAAAACTATATATATATTATTTTCAAACTCTCAGAAGTACATTGTACCCGTGAAGGTCCGGGTTAGAATGAACCTTCAGTAACCCATGTTTGCCGTAAGGCTCGATGGCATGGTTGACTCATGTCATCGGTTCCCAATTGCACAGGTCAATGCTCATGCTGTTGATCACTGGATTGCCTGGTCCAGACTCGATTATTTACAGACCGCCGCCATATAGCTGGAATATTTCTGAGTGCGGCGTAAAACTAAACTCACTCACTCACTCAGAAGTGCATTGTCTATTTCTGAAGAAGATATAACATTCTCACTCTTAGTTTTCTTATTATTCAGTCACAAACGTAGATAATAGATTAATACGCTTTGTTTTTGTTTCATTGGTGGATATTTCTTTGCTCTGTGGTTAATGTCGACGTAGTTTGGTATGGGTCCGTGTAGGTTAGTTTCGGCGTGGTTCCGTTCACTACGTCCCAGTAACCAAGAATGTGAGGGGATCTAACTGGTTCCGGCGCGGATTTCTCTGCTATTTCTTTAAAACAGACAGAATGCTGCGAAGTCCGTTTGAGTCTGTATTCGTGGCAGAGTAGAAATACATACAGACAGAGATATTTCACACCAGAATATCTAAACAAGTAGATAGAGTAAATAAACTTAACAAGTAGATATAACATAAGCAAAATGACAAAATGTTATTTGGGTAAATACGGTACGATTAAGGTGACAGACTGGTACGTATGACTGGTATGAACGTTGTTGATTATTAGGAAAGTTACAGTAAGATAATTACACGGTGGATCGTGTGTGATAATAGACAACAGCTAATAACCAGTCATCGTCACAAAATCATCGACAACTAGAACCATGTGACATGTTATATTAGGAAGTACCCAACACAAGTAGCCTACTAGAAGCTGTACTATACTGAGAAAGTGTCATCCCATAACATATGTTACATTTGACCACTTTCTAAATGGCCGCTTAATTTAGTGTGCATTCATAACTAGAACCATACCCAGCAAAGTCCATATAATCGTGAACCGCCTCCGTGGTGTAGTGGTTAGAGCGTCCGCCCGGAGAGCGGAAGGTCGCGGGTTCGATCCCCGACCGCGTCATACTAAATGACGTTAAATATGGTACTTGTTGGTCCCTGCCTGGCGCTCGGCATTAATGGGTACAACAAGGACTGGTCGGCTCGGTGTCAGTATAATGTGTCTGAGTGGGGTATTCATGCTTCACTGCGGCATGGTATCTCAGTGGGCTAGCACTATAAAACCAGCTTAAGTCTGGTCGTCATATGAGCGAAATATTCTCCAGCACGACGTTAAACCCAATTTCACCTCACCATATAATCATGTGGGTACAGCAAGAGCATCATCAAGATCAAGTTGACCAGTGTCAACATTCTATTGAATGTGCTTCCCGATCTTTGTAAATATACTCTCCCAAAAAAGTAACGCATCATGAAAATAGCGATTTCATGTAGCAATGAATTAAAACGTGATTCATTTTACAAAAGGTTTTGGTCTGTTTATGAGTCCTATGGTGTTTATATTTTGAAACATCACAACAAAACGCACCATCCGTAAAATACCCGTATTTTACAGCATGATTTGCAATTTCGGCGTGTAGTGACACAGAATACACAATTCACATGCAATGCACGTGATAGTTGGGATCAGATAGTCTCAATGATGTGTATAAAAGGTTGATCGCTGTCTGTGGATTATTCACTGCATTTGGAATATTGTTGACGAACGCAAAATGCCACGTCTAAGTGAAGCCAACCGTCATATCGCCATTGGTTTGCTTGAAGCTGGCCAACGTGCAGTTGCCCGACGCATGAATGTTCGTCAAAGCACCATTTCCCGGTTCTGGGAGAGATATCGCCGGCAGAATGCGGTAGCAGATGCCCCTCGTAGTGGGCGACCTCGAGCGACCAATGCGGCGCAGGATCGCTACATCCGGGTACATCATCTGCGTCATCGAACAGCTACTGCGACCAGTACCGCTCGACAAATACCCGGATTGAGGAGGCATTCTGCACAGACCGTCAGGAACAGGTTGAGAGAGGCTGGTTTACGTGCCAGAAGACCTTATTTTGGCCCTGTGCTTCGACAACAACATCGTCAACATCGAGTTCAATGGCCTGAAACGTTCAGGCCTGGAACCTACCGAATTGGGGTAGAATCTGGTTCAGTGATGAATCACGATTTCTATTGGAACGACGCGATGGAAGAATGCGGGTGTACAGACGTCGACGCGTGAACGTTTCGCCGACGCTTGCATTCCCCAGGTGGACAGATTCGGCCGGGACAGTGTTATGATGTGGGGGACGATCACATGCCGTAGGAGAAGTGATTTAGTGATGATCCAGGGCAACCTGACAGCTCAACGGCACTGTGACAAAATCCTACGCCCACTCCTCCTTCCAATCATTGATCGCCAGAGGGAGTTGTTTCAACAGGACAATGCCAGGCCCCACACAGCACGTCACACTAGAGACTTCCTCCAGAACCACAACATCAATGTGCTCCCCTGGCCCTCAAGATCACCGGACTTAAACCCGATCGAACATCTGTGGGATGCCCTGGACAGACGGGTGCGACGCCGTAGCCCTCAGCCCCAGACACTTCAGCAACTCGCACAGGCACTACAGGCAGAGTGGGCTGCGATTGGGCAACACGAGATTCTGAGACTTATTCGTTCGATGCCGAGGCGAAGCCGTGCAGTTCTGGATGCCCACGGTGGTCACACGAGGTGTTGACTTCAGCGCCACCACACGTCTCCATGTGACACTCAAACTGACTTTCCTCGAGTTGGTGCCAAAGACGGATAAGTCTGCATTCCCAGGGTGCAATTTCGCTATATTTCATTGACTCATAAAGCCTACAAGATGTTTCAAAATAAACATAAAAATACAGTTATGCTTTTCCTATATGCGTTTCTTTTTTGGGAGAGTATATTTGTTGGAACATAGAACTGAGAATATATAAGTTTTGGAAACCAGTTAGGCTCTTTCTCCACTACATATCCCTCGCTTTACGCATTTAGTGCAGATCCAAACTGTGTTTTATGATCTCTGGCAGTGTATGAAATAAGGCCCGTCCGACCGCCCGAGACGGGCTAGATTTCTGAGGACAGTCTAAATTTACAGCTAGCCAGCCCGATGGTCTGATAAATTTTTTTCGTAAATTTGAGTAAATTCACCATTTCTTGGTGTTTGGTCTGCTTAAATCCATTTTTGGCTGGTAACAATTTGAAGTTACCAGCCCTGACGTCTGGCTGGATTTTTGGCTTATTTCATACACTGTCTCTGGCACCCAATATATGATTCGCTAAAATATCTTCCATCCAGTTTCACTTGAATTACTTTTTTTTCGGTTTAGACGTTTAAAGTTGGTTAGGGATTTTCTTCATACCCATTCTACTTTTAGCACAGCCAAGCCCACTGGCCTGACACCCCAATCCCGTTAGTGGCCTCTTAATGACAAGCATGGACAATTGTATTCCGTAGCCTATCGCGGATTTAGTGGAAGCATGTCATTGTGATTGATGCTCATGATGAAAGTCACTGGACTGTCAAATCCAAACAGTCGTCATATACACAGAGTATTGCCGAGTGTGGTTATTAACAACAAACAAACAATCCCATCGGATCAAGTCCGTTTTGAAGCTGATGGTCGTGTTGGTATTTTATGTGCGCATTTAGAACTTGATTGCCAGTACGGAGTAGCCTCCCCCTTTTCCTCACGTTGTCCAACCACTGATCTCATACGTAGTCTTTGCATGTGAAAACAAAATCATTGTTGCAGATAAATTCATTACAAGATACTAGAAATGATATTAAATCTTTTAATGTCACGTCTAAATAACTCATGTCTCTTTTTGGTTAGTTATGTTTTTTTAAATATACATTTACTGCTGATCTCTACCCACGTGGTTAAGGAAAACACATGTGGGACTGAAATGAGAGAGAGAAGACGGTACCGTTACACTGTGATACCGTTATACATAAACTGACGATTCTGCTGAATGTGTCAAACGTGACGATGGAAGACAGCAATTGCTCAGAGTATTCAATGATCAATGCTGTTCATTCATTATGTCAAAAGAACGCAAAATGCAATTCCAAGTTGAAATGGCTACTGTCAAAACAGGTGAGCACTAGCTGTTAAAGTCAGGGAATATTTTGATCTGACATGTTGATATGTTTTCATGCCATTAGAGAGGGGGACTTTGGGGTCATTTGGTAATGCGAGAAAACCAAATCGATCTTACACCACATTGAATGCATACTGATATCAGCTTTATCAAATACGATAGTAATTTACGTCTTGGTTTTGTTTTATATTAATATATATATACACGCGCATATTGCAATCAGTGAGCCGGATGAGTTAATGATAACCCTAACTGCACAGAGACAGTGCCTAAGGTTCACACTTAACACAAATGACAAGGTTTAGAATTTGGTTCAATACATAACTGACCGCCTCCACTGGTCCAGTGGAAAGAGCATCCTAATACGGAGAGTCAGTGTATAAATGTGTCACCTCATCATTGATGGTACATACTGTTACGCTAGGTGTGCTTTTGCATTGAGACATAAAGCAAATACTGGCTGGTTGGATGTCTGTATGTGTCTGAGCTAGTATTACAGAAATTGACAAGTATGTAAGAAGACATACAAGTACCCCCACAGTGCAGTAATCTGAGATGTGTCATTTTACCTCATCTGTTGTCAATGCTCATGGCAAAACTGAAGTATATAGATAACAGTTATGCATACTACATCAGAGACCATGTAGAGATTATAATACATGGTCTCTGATTACATAGACTGACAGACTTACACCATGAGTAAGCATGTTATGGCATCAGTGGTAATATTTTGATAATATTGTATCCAAAAGTTAATCACTCAGCTTCCAGTATATTTATAGAAGTTAATTATAAGCAAGTTGACATATAAAACAAATAAGAATTCATTTAATTGTCTTTTTGTATTCCTACCTGACAGATTTGGCCCCCCTCTGATCGGACAGCCTTGTTGGAGGGTCTGTCACAGCTGTTCCTTGACTTCCAATGTTCCGCTGACATATGCACCAGTGTCCGACCTCTCATCCTCGATATAATTGAGAGATCCAAGACTTCAGTGCTTCTACATGGACATGAAAACAATATTTATATTACCAAATTTGCAGTTGCTTTAAGTTTAGGTATAGGCAGTACACCAGATCTCAGGAACTTTTCTGTTGAATTTTTGAATACATACAAGCCATTTTGTCAGTCACCTAATTCTGATGGAGAGCCAAGGAAGAAAAAGAAGAAAAAAGAAAAGGTAATGGTAGCACTTTTGGCAGACATTATTGACAGTGTACTAAAGGAAGTGTTCTGTAGGCAGACACTATATGCAGAGCACAGCACAGATTGTATATTTGATTTTGATATGGATATGAACTGTTTAGGCATCTGCAGTGATGCTTGTGCTTATGAAGAGAAGCATTTAATTTTAGATTGTCATAAACATGATAAAGATTTCATAAAATTGCTCTGAAAGCTTACATGATGCTATTTGCGTCACTTTTGCAGATAGCTGATTTTTTCTAGACTGTTGTCTTTATATTTTAAACAATTCATGAATCATGTTCACAGAGTGCATGAGTACTCCTGGTTTCACACAAGTTGGAATATTTTGGACATATAACATTCATCCTAATAAGCACCCAGGACATTAGAAGTTGGCAGATGGGGACTTTTATCAAAATCATGTTCAACAAATTAAATTTGCTGTCGGAGATCAAGTAGTAGAGATAAAACGTTGTTGAAACATTAGTGAAACTAAAACTTTTTCAGTAATAGTATCTCAGCAAATATGTACCCCTTCTTTTCAGGTGTTTAGTATTTGTATTCAAATTCTCATCATGATATGGCTGAAATATTGCTGATGTGACATTCAATTTTAACTCACTTACTCTATTTGGGGACCGCCTCCGTGGTGTAGTGGTTAGTAGCGTCCGCCCGGAGAGCGGTGAGTACCCAACAAAAGTGGCATACTAGAAGCTGTACTATACTGAGAAAGTGTAATCCCATAACATATGTTACATTTGACCACTTTCTAAATGGCCGCTTAATTTACTAGAACCATACCCAGCAAAGTCCATATAATCGTGAACCGCCTCCGTGGTGTAGTGGTTAGAGCGTCCGCCCGGAGAGCGGAAGGTTGCGGGTTTGATCCCCAACTGCGTCATACCAAAAGACATTAAAATATGGTACTTGTTGGTCCCTGCCTGGCGCTCGGCATTAATGGGTACAACAAGGACTGGTCGGCTCGGTGTCAGTATAATGTGTCTGAGTGGGGTATTCATGCTTCACTGCGGCATGGTATCTCAGTGGGCTAGCACTATAAAACCAGCTTAAGTCTGGGCTAGTACAAGCAGCTGCACATACACATGCATGCATGTCGTCATATGAGCTAAATATTCTCAAGCACGACGTTAAACCCAATTTCACCTCACCTCACTCTATTTGGGTGTGTTTTCTGTGAAAGGCACAGTGCACATCTAAGGGTAATAGATTATTTACACATTGGTGAGAGAGTCCTTATTAGAGTAGGGCTCGTTGAATAAGATAATTCTGTTATTCACTGCAACCATTATAAAGAACTGGGCATGTTCATTGGTAAGCATGCCAGGAATAGGTTTGGAAGACTTAGTGGTATGGCATATGCATTGCAACAGTTCGTGGCTCAATGGCAGTGTGTTTTTGTGAAAGTGAAATATGTAACAGAGTTCATTGCCTACTTGAGCATGTTGAGTATCACTATCAGTAGCTTCATATATTATTATTTCAGTTGAGCGATCTTGAGTTGTGTCGGGCAATGTGGACCTTTGTAGACGTCCTGGGAGAAAGTGTGGAGGGCTGCATCACACTGGACCTCCTGGTGGCCTATCTGTCTCACCATGAATCCCAAGTCAGATGGTGAGTCTGTCATGTCTGCCGCACCATAAACCTCAAGTCAGGTGGTGAGTGTGTTGTATCTGTCTCACCATGAGCCTCAAGTCAGTTGGTGTCTGTTATATCTGTCTCACCATGAACCTCAAGTCAGGTGGTGAGTCTGTTGTATCTGTCTCACCATGAGCCTCAAGTCTGGTGGTGTGTCTGTTGTATCTGTCTCACCATGAACCTCGCGTCTGTTGTACCTCGCATCATATGGTGAGTCTGTTATATCTGTCTCACAATGAACCTCAAGTCAGGTGGTGAGTGTTGTATCTGTCTCACCATGAGCCTCAAGTCATATGGTGAGTCTGTTATATCTGTCTCACCATGTACCTCAAGTCAGGTTGTGAGTCTGTTGTATCCGTCTCTCCATGAACCTCACATCAGGTTGTGAGTCTGTTGTATCTGTCTCACCATGAGCCTCACGTCTGGTGGTGAGTCTGTTGTATCTGTCTCACCATGAACCTCGCGTCAGGTTGTGAGTCTGTTGTGTCTGTCTCACCATAAACCTCACATCAGATGGTGAGTCTGTTGTATCTGTCTCACCATGAACCTCAAGTCTGGTGGTGAGTCTGTTGTATCCGTCTCACCATGAACCTCACATCAGGTTGTGAGTCTGTTGTATCTGTCTCACCATGAGCCTCACGTCAGGTGGTGAGTCTGTTGTATCTGTCTCACCATGAACCTCGCGTCAGGTTGTGAGTCTGTTGTGTCTGTCTCACCATAAACCTCACATCAGGTGGTGAGTCTGTTGTATCTGTCTCACCATGAACCTCAAGTCTGGTGGTGAGTCTGTTGTATCAGTCTCACCATGAACCTCACATCAGGTGGTGAGTCTGTTGTATCTGTCTCACCATGAACCTCAAGTCAGGTTGTGAGTCTGTTGTATCTGTCTCACCATGAACCTCACATCAGGTGGTGAGTCTGTTGTATCTGTCTCACCATGAGCCTCACATCAGGTGGTGAGTGTTGTATCTGTCTCACCATGAACCTCAAGTCAGGTTGTGAGTCTGTTGTATCTGTCTCACCATGAGCCTCACATCAGGTGGTGAGTGTTGTATCTGTCTCACCATGAACCTCGCGTCAGGTTGTGAGTCTGTTGTGTCTGTCTCACCATAAACCTCAAGTCAGGTGGTGAGTCTGTTGTATCTGTCTCACCATGAACCTCAAGTCTGGTGGTGAGTGTTATATCTGTCTCACCATGACCCTCAAGTCAGGTGGTGAGTCTGTTATATCTGTCTCACCATGAACCTCAAGTCATATGGTGAGTCTGTTGTATCTGTCTCACCATAAACCTCAAGTCAGGTGGTGAGTCTGTTATATCTGTCTCACCATGAACCTCAAGTCAGGTGGTGAGTCTGTTGTATCTGTCTCACCATGAACCTCAAGTCAGGTGGTGAGTGTTGTATCTGTCTCACCATAAACCTCAAGTCAGGTGGTGAGTCTGCTTCCCAGCCTATAGGTGACTGCGGATGTCTGGTTGACGTTCTAGAGGAGATGTAGGAAAGGATACACTGTCACATGGAAACTAACTACTTTAAACATTTAAACTAGTTGAAATTTGAGCTAGTCCCCATGGTAGCTGCACCTAAATGTTTGTGTTGACATAACCAATGCTGTTATATGGCTATATGTTCCACTCTGCAATAAGACAGAGTAAGAGATGTGAGATGTGTTCCAGGTTTGCTGCGGAGGCTGTGTCCCAACTGGTCCGGATGTCAGAGAGTCAGAGGGAGATGTTCCTGCGGAAATACTTCACTGAAGAAGAGATCAGAGAACTTTCTGTTAGGTAATGCAACAATACTTGCCTATCATGCAATTCCTTCAACAGGTAACTTGACATTAGCTGTATTGATACCCTGTCCAAAGCTTTGTGTATTGGTGGACCATCCTTCATCTCCCCATTAACTTTCATATATCATTAGCTGCATGATGATATGGGTTGTTTCTTGTTCATTTCATCACTGGTTTGGCTGGTCCAGACTTGCCTGTTTACAGGCCAAACATATCCCCAGAAATATGTGCTGGTCGTTTGAGGTCACCTAATGGAATTAGTGACTCGGCAGATAGTGTGTCATCATACCTTGAAGGTTTGGATTGTAACTCTCAGATGTTGGATGTCTGGTTCGCCCTGATCGTGTATCATGCCTCCAGACTTGTGGTACTGGTAAATGTCTGACTTGCTTCACTTTGGGATTTCCTCACACATTAAGTGAGTGAGTCGGGTTTTACGCCGTTCTTAGCAATATTCCAGCAATGTTACAGCGGGGGACACCAGAAATGGGCTTCCCACATTGCACCCATCGCACATTAAGCTCACCGCACACTGACATAACTGGAATACTGTTCAAATTTTGGGTGAACCAAACTCTCTCACTCATTTTGACTCAATTTGTTAAATGAAAATAATGCATATTTTGTTTCATTTCAGATATTTATTAGATGATGGTCCTAAAAGGAAGGCTGAGTCTTTGGTTGTCGTGACAACAGATGTGAAGAAGTTGAGTCACACGATGCAGGGCCTGGTCAGCATGGACTTCAGTGACAGTGTTGTGGAAGTTGCTGGCCTCCTGTTGCCAAGACTACAAGGGGAGACAATCATGGTGAGTAAAATTTCACAAATGGCAACTTAAGAGCCCAGGGTATCACCCTTCAAATGTTTTAGCACTGGGGCTGTTTCTTGTGAGGTGAACAGACTTTGATGGTTAAAAGGTTTGACATAATTGATCAGGTGATAGACTCTGTGACTTAGTTGATTGCATGTCATCTAGTGAATTGTTGCTGATATCAATCACTTGCTTGTCTGGTCCAGACTCTATCATGTGCCATCATTGAGATAGACTATTGCTGAGTGTGTGGAGCTGGATCACAGCATGAAAGAGAAAAAAAAAAACACATTTTTTCTGGATTGCTGGAGGTGTACTGTGGTCAAAGTAGAAACTAAGGTGTTCAAGGTTCAGCATCCCATAATGTACCAAATAGGTTTAAGTCATTCCCTCTGTCAGCTGAATTGTTCATTAAAATTAGTACATTCCTTACATAGCTGAATAATTAATTCAGTTAACTGAATGCCTGACTATATCATTAAGTTTCTCCCAATACATAATCTTTCAAACCAGTTAGTTCCCTTCATATTCTGAATTATTTGCTCAATTCATTTTTGCTGTTCATTCATTTCTCCATAGACGGAATCATGCATTCAATTCATTTACCTGTATACTGCATAATTTATTCAGTTTATTCCCTCCGAGACTTGTAATTCAATTTAATTCATTGCCTTCATAAACTGAATCATTCCTTAAGTTCAGTCCATCCATCTCCATAGACTGATCATTCATTATTATTAGGATTATTATTATATATATAGCTCACATATCCACGCACTAGTGCATGCTCAAGGCGCTGGCATTTTTTCCCTCGATCATTGGATGTCAATATCAACTGCACATCGTATTAGCAATCTCAGCTCCCTTGGGAGTATACAACTCTTGCTGCTACTAGGTGCACCGAGTTATTGTGGCTTTCTCATCCTAACGAGGTTATTCCCTCCGTAGTCTTGAGCTGTTTCATTTCATTCCCTTTCTAGACAGCGTCTGTGGAGCTGGTTCCCGTGCCCTCCATGCTCAGCAACCTCCGCAGCCTGGCACTGGCGGTCGTGTCGGGGGCCCCGGTCCTGCTGCAGGGGCCAGTCGGCAGTGGGAAGACAACTCTTGTCCAGCACCTGGCTGGCCTGACAGGGAGACACACCACACCACACCTGATCAAGATACAACTAGGGGACCAGACTGACAGCAAGGTAGGCAGATAACACAGGGGTGTAACAGCTGTTGATAACTGTAAAGGTTGTGTGGAGATATTATGAAATGTCAATGTTTGAATAATGCATATTTGTTACTAAGCCTCCTTCAAAATGGGAATTAGTGAAATTTGATAATTATTTGAGAAAAATAAGTTTGAACAAAATATTTTGCCTGCATTAGTAATTGTAAAACTTGATAACAGGAGTGGGATGTCAGGAGATAAAACTCACTGTTATCTAAACATAGTTGTATGTAGGGACGGATGTTTGTCTGGTTGATCCCACCTGTGTTCGTGTGTGCAGGCACTGCTTGGCACCTACAGATGCACGGAGGTCCCGGGGGAGTTCGTGTGGCAGCCAGGCATCCTCACGCGGGCCGTAACTGAAGGATTCTGGGTCCTTTTGGAAGACATTGACTTTGCACCGATGGACGTTGTGTCCATACTCCTGCCCCTGTTGGAGACCAACACATTGACCATTCCAGGTCATGGGGACAACGTCAAGGCCAACCCTGGCTTCAGACTGTTTGCCACACAACGGTGAGATTTACAACCATGTGTGAATAGTAAATGTGTCAATAAGCAAAGATTCAGTTGTCAGTCTGGTCTGAACCTCAACAACAGGTTCTGATGCTTCTCCCTCTTCTGCAGACTTGTAGGAAGCAGCAGTGGGTGGCATCGTCAGCACAGCGGTAGTGCTCTCCTCCTGGAGAAGATGTGGACCAGGATCAATGTTGAACCCCTCTCACGCTCTGAGCTGGAAAAGGTTTGTTGACTGTAATCACCTCGAATATCAAGTAGCCTAGTGGTTAAAGTGTTGGCTTGTCACGCCGAATACCCGGGTTCGAATCCCCACATAGGTACAATGTGTGAAGCCCATTTCTGGTGTCCCCCGCCGTGATGTTGCTGGAATATTGCTAAAAGTGGCGTAAAACCACACTCGGTCAGTCAGTCGAATATCAAGTGTAGTGTATCTCAGTTCCACAGTGTCATATTGCTGGTAGTTTTGCGTAATATCAGATTAAATAACCTATAACCTCAATGTATTTACATGCACAATTATATCACCTTGAAGTATGTGATATGATACATTAGTTACACACATTGTGGTACATGCAGGTGATAGTGAGCCAGTTTCTTCACCTTGAAGTATGTGATACGATACATCAGTGATATACATTGTGGTACATGCAGGTGATAGTGAGCCAGTTCCCCCAGTTGGCCACCGTGGTGGAGAAGCTACTGGACATATACCTCATGTTGTCAGCCGGCAAACACGACTCCGATACGTCTATATCAGACACCGACAGTACAGGAAAGTTCCTGTCTTTAGCAGGGAGACTAGTGTCTACCAGGTGAGTTCAACATTACCCTCAGTGAACAAGGAGGTGATTGTTGGAGCGTCAGTTGAGTTGTGTGGATAGCTTCCATGGGTCTCTATGTTAGTCAACTGACATGCCTACACCGAATCACGTGGTTCTTGATTTGACTCTTAGACATATCACTTTATCCGAAATATGCTTCGGTTCACTCAGCAGTGCAAGGTTCCTGGTACAATGAGATGGTAATGTGCCTGTTGATCTTCTAGTGCTTGACAGGCAGATTCTGCTGTGTTCACCCTAGAGAGCCAAGAGTAAAATCGAATGCATGCTGATCCATGTAGGATTCTAGAATGCCCCTTTATGAAATGGAAGTATAGAGCAATATACATGTCATTGTTATTGGGTTTGTTTGGTTTTTTTTGTTATCATTATTGATATATTTATACCTTTCAGTGAAAAATTTGTAATTCAAACAATTCATACCTGGCTTTGAAAATATATCTGCCTCATGTTTTGTTAGAGATCCAATTCTCTGAGCATAATCTTCAAATTATTGATGTTAGTTGAAAAAAAACAACAATACTGCCTGTTTTCGATTTCACCGTCTGTGTCATGTTGCAGGGATCTCATGACATGGATCAACAGAGTCAGTTCCGAGTTCGATATATCATCCACCGAGGCTGGCACCAAGGTGTTCCAGGAAGCCTTGGACTGTTTTGTGTCCTGTCTCCCCAAACCAAGCAAGAGGATGCCATTAGCAGAGGCCATTGGCGCTAAACTCAATGTATCAAAAATAAAGGTATTATTGTTAATGTTATTGTGTGATATATGAAATATTGGCCAAAAGGTCATGTGATCACAGAGAATGTTTTGTTAATATTACATTGTGTTACTAGAAATTCATGAACAAGAAGAAGATGGTGCTCCAGTTCTGTTTTCTTTTATGAATAAGGATGTTGTTGATAAAACCTTCGGATCATTGTAATTGTGGTATAGATAACTACTTGACTTGGACATAAAGAAAATCAGAAGATTTAATACACTGCAACATTATTAGTGTAAATAAGTGGATGCAATGTGTTGTAGTTGTGGAGTGTGGTAACAGTTACTTATATGTAGCTGTTTATAACTCAAGGGATTCAAGAGGCGGTGGGGTAGCCTAGTGGTTAAAGCGTCACGGCGAAGACCCGGGTTCCAATCCCCACATGGGTACAATGTGTGAAGCCCTTTTCTGGTGTCCCCCGCCGTGATGTTGCTGGAATATTGCTAAAAGCGGCTTAAAACCAAACTCAGTCAGTCAGTCAAGGATTCAAATAAATCTTCATCAATGCAAACTGTACCAGTGCCTGTTGTTTACGTTATGTGAAGAACAGATGTCAACCCGGCCTTGGTGCATGTTGCATTTGTGGCGTGTAATGTGACCTCTCATGGACCACAGTGTATTCACAAGCAATAGAGGAATACATGAACCCAGTGAAGTATTGAGGTTGACTTGCCTGAGAATCATGACTGTAGTGTTGCTCCCCGGTATTGTTGATTGATACAGAGTCTGTAGCCATCATACTTTATGCCAGTATTACAGGCCACAGTCAAATATTTTCAATCTTCTCCTCTCACATGTTCCTGGTCCTGTTTCAGGCTGAGTTCTACATCTGTAAGTACAAGCCCAACATTGAAGTGAGTGAGTCATCCTTCACGCTGGCTGGCGTTATTCTTCTTCATAGAGATCGTCCTTGGGGTACATATTATGCATTTTTCAAGCTGAAAATGTCCTGTGACAGTTGTATCAATGTTTTTGAATAAAAGATTGTACAATAAATAAACTCTTTTATTTATTATCGGCCCCTACCTCACGGAGTTACCTCCCGTTAGCATGCGCACCAACTGGAGTAAGCTCCTAGGCCCATTATCATCATTCCTTCTGCTGTCACTGCGTGAACAGGCGTCCATGAGCATTACAGCTGAACTTTTTCTGATAAAGAAAACTATGTCTGATACTACACCACCTGTATGTATGGTCTTTATTTGCCTATGAAAGGAACAGTAAAGCTTTACAGTTGGTTGTTTCATAATTGTGACTTTGTATTAATTCTAATACGCTAACTTTCCCGTGGTTTACGCACATGTTGCTCTGCCATGGCGGGAAGTTTAGCGTGCCATGTGGTCGTAATATTGCGTATTGAACCAACTATTACTTCCCGTGGTAGCCTTCACGTATTTTTCAATGTTTTCTACGTGTATATATGTTGCTGGTCCGCCGTTAGCTACATGCTTGCGTGTTTGCTTTCAGGCCTTTTCCTCCTGTTAGGTCTGTGGACAGAGCATTCCCGCGGGCCGACAGGCATGACCAATGTGTAGCCTGTCTGGAAAAGACCGGCCATGGCTTGAAGTGTGTCCAATATGTCTTGGGTTTTCCCCGTGCCCAAAGAGGAGGGCTGACACTCTCTTTTACAAAGAGATCGCGAGGCGGGTGGGGAACTCACCCAGGTCCCCGTCTAAGGCCCAAAAGCGGTCGCGTAGGGGAAAAAATCCCAAAGCCAATCCCCTCTCCTGCTTCTACTGGTGGGTTTGACATGTCATTAATGGATAAATTGTTTCAGCAACATATGGACTCCGTGAAGTCCCTCGTCCGTGAGTCTGTTGGGGCTCCGGCAGGAGTTCCTCGCTCACTCTGGGCCAGGCGGAGAGTCAGGGGTGGGATCGCCGGGCTCGGCTCGATCCCTCAGCCTTGGCGTCTGTAGACCCGTTGCCTCTGGCCCGGTCCGGGCGCCTCGGCTGCCTGGAGGGAGGTGCTCCCAGTCCCCTCGGAGTTGGCGCGGGGACCGTTGAGTATTCCTGGGGTTCCGATCCTGCGCCCTCCGCCCCATGAGGCGGAGGCACCAGTTCTGCCTGGTCTGCCTCCAGCGTCACCGGGACGGGGTCCGTGCAGCTTGCAGGCTGGCGGGGAGCACTCTGTCTGCTCCTCCCTCTCTGTGGTTCCTAGTGCTAGGCAGCCCACGGGTCGGGGTTAGGGGTCCTCTTTCAGAGGAGACCCAGCCTCAGACTTCGGGCTCGAGCGCCCAGTCGATGGATACTGGGGAGGTAGAGGAGCATGGCGGTGCTTTCCGTTTTGCCGGCTCTGCGGGAGGTCCGGCAAAGGATTGCGAGGGCCTACCCCAGGCAGCGGTGCCTGTTGGCAGCTTCGGACTTCGGCTGAGTTCCGCTTGCCAGGCGGCGTTTGCCCCTAGGCAGCCCTACGCATGAGGCGCAGCTCCGCATTCTGCCCTCGTTGGTACAGGGCGTGGTTGATCCCCTCTTGTCTGGTTCCGTGTCGGTTGACTTGCGGGCTTTATGCGGAGATACCAGCTTGGGGAGGAATCCCTGTTCGTGGTACCCATCGTGGGCGAGTGTGTTTTCACTTCCGTCGCCCTGGGGGAGGCTCGGCTTCCTCGGAGCAGCTCCGGCTGCTTTCGGCAAGGCGTGTTACTCCACCGTTTGCCCTGGCGGCATCCCCTGAGGCATGCGTGCGGACCTACGAGGAGGTCTACGGGCAGCTATGCAGCAGGTCAGGGTGGTGGTCCATGAGGCCTACCTCTCCCTCGATACAGAGGTCGGCCCTGGGGCGGGAGGGCATGCTGGTGGCGTTTCGCCGCGCATGTCGTGCTGCTCCGTCAGCTATCTCGGAGTACAGGCCCACCTGCAGCGCGACTCTTTGCGGTCTGCTGCGTCGGCGGTGATGTGCGCAGTCATGGGGATCGCAAGCTGTGGCTGTCGGCGTCTCGGTACTTTCGGCAGCGGCGCAGCAGACCTTGCTGGCCCTCCCTTCCGTCTGGGGGCGACCCTCTTTCCAGGGGCACAGCAGGTCATTCGAGGAGGCTGCGCTGCAGCTACCTCCTTCAAGGACTCTAAGGCCTTGTTGGAGCACCAGCGGGTGTCTGCCCCAGCTCCGTTCCACCTTCCTCCGCCCGGGGTGCAGCCTACACCCGAGTCTGCCGGCTGGCCGGCCGCTTGGTAGGGGTAGGCGGAGGAACAGGTCCGCCAAGGGTAGGGGCAAGGAGCAGTCCTCGACTAGCTCCCAGCCTTTTTCAGCGGCGGCGGGAGGTCTGCCCGACCTCCCGTTAACCCATCAGGCTGTCGCTCAAGCCGTGTGTCGCCCAGTCAGCTCCGCTGCTTTCGGGACAACGCGCGCAGCTCCTACCCCATATCCCAGTGGGAGGCCGCCTCTCTCTATTCCTGCGGAATGGGAGAAGGCTACCAACAATGCTTGGGTGCTGGCCACCGTCAGCATCGGCCATTTACCACTGTGGAGGCGAGGTCCGCCCGACTTCACCCGGCATCGCCGCACTCGGTGCCGTCATGTCAGGCAAGAGGCGGACATATTCTTGGCGAAGTTCAGGCTCTGCTGGACAAGTCCGCCAATCGGCGCATTCCACGGGAGAGGAACAGGCGGGATTTTACTCCGCGTACTTCCCTCGTCGAAGAAAGGCGGCGGGTTCCGTCCCATTCTCAACCTCAAGGGGTTGAACCGCATGCTAGAAGTACCATCCTTCAAGATGGAGACACTGCGCTTCGGTGATCTCATCTGTTCAGCCCGGCGATTGGCTCCGTCAATCGACCTAAAGGATCGCGTATCTGCATGTGCCCATACATCCATCGTTCAAGCAGTACCTTAGGTTCTCTTACGGCGGGATGTGTTACCAATTCAGGGTGCTCCCCGCCGGCATATCGACTGCCCCAAGGGTGTTCACCAAGCTCATGTTAGTCCCGGCTACCCTGGCTTCGTTCGCAAGGAAGGCGTTGTTACCCTTACCTCGGCGACTGGTTGCTTTCGGAGCACTAACACAGCCAGCGAGTCTAGATGCTACTCACACAGTGATAGACATTCTAATTCGACTGGGGTGGATCATCAACCTCAAGAAATCCGACCTGGTACCCACCCAGGACTTGGTTTTCTTGGGTAGCGATTCAAACAAACAAGGATCTCGTTTCCTTGTCGCCCGACCCGGATCACCAGAGTTAGGAGATGGTATCTTCGTTCCTCTCCCAGCCCCAGGCACCAGCGCGGACTTGGCTCCGTCTACTGGAGCCATATGGCGGCGGCGATCTCTGTAGTGTGGCGGTAGCGGTTGAGGATCGCCCTATACAGCAAGCTTTGGCTCGGCTGTGGGCTCACCGCGGAGGATCTGGGCGCAGTCTCACAGTCCCAGTGGTTGACACCTCACCTTCAGTGGTGGACAAATGTCGGGGAATCTCACCAGGGGATCCCCTTGGAAATCCCGGCGCCAGCTCTCACAGTTCAGACCCGATCGTCCCTCACGGGCTGGGGGTGTTCTGGGCAGTCTGTCGGCGTCCGGACTCTGGTCGAAGCGAAGCCCACCTTCACATCAGCGTGTTGGAACTGAGAGCTGTCGCGGTTGGTTTTGGCTTCAGAGAGCATGTCCGTGGCCAGGTAGTCCGTCTTCAGTTGGACAACCAGGCGGCCATGTCGTACATCCTGAAGCAGAGGCGGCACGCGGTGTCCCCAAGCTCCTCGGGGGGCGTGGGACTTTCTCCTCTGAATGCGACCAGTGCGATTGTCAGGTACTCCCTGTTTATCTCCGGGGCTGGAGAGCGTGCGAGCAGATCGCGGCTCTCGCCGGATCCTGGCCCTTACGCAGTGGATGCTTTCGACAGGCAGATTTTCAGAGTAATCTCCCAGTTATGCGCAGATTGCGTTCCAGGTGGATCTGTTTGCGTCGGCGGGGCGCATCAGACACCCGTGTTCTGCTCTCGAATACGGACCCAGGGCGTTGGCTGCGGCGCCTTCCTGCTGGATTGGGCCGGGCAAAGTGCTCTGGGCGTTCCCGCCGTTACCACTCATTCCCGTGTCCTTTCACAGCTGTCCACCCAGCCAGCTCGGCTGCTTGTGCTACTGGCACGCGCTTTGGCGTCACAGAGCTGGTTTCGGTAATTCTCAGGTTTCTGGCTCAGCCTCCTGTTCTATTACCTTTACGACCCGGACATTCTCACTCAGAGCGGGCCCACCCAAATCCCGCAGTTCAGTGGGTGGCTTGGCCTCTGTCAGGTCTAGCCTCGAGCCGCAGCGGAATTCCTGCAGCAGTTGCAGACACAATTCTGGCCGGTGGGGATTAGACAAGCGTTCAGTATGAGGATAGGTGGTCCGCTATGGCGCTGGTGTTCAGATAGGGGGATTGCAGATCCCTTTTCTGCGGATTTAGTCCAGTATTGGAGTTTTGCAAGCTCGTTTGGAAGAAGGCCTGGCGGCCGACCATTAAGTGGCTACTCCACGCTATTTCCACTTTTCACACCCTGTCGATGGTGCTCTTCTGGGGCAGCACCCTCTCGTCTGGCGCTTTCTTGCTGGCGGCGGCGGAGTTCGACCTGCTCTCAGGCGAACCAGTCCACCTTAAGGATTTGTCAATTGTGCTCGATTGGCTGTCGGTCCAACTTTCTCACACCTATCGGCTATTTCCATTCAGTTGTTAGCTTGGAAGGCTGTTTTCTGGTGGCGGTAACATCTGGGCGTAGAGATCGGCGATTTACATGCTATGTCGTCCGACCGAGCTGACTGTGTTTCACACTGATCGTGTCAGCATTAAGCCTCCCGGATACTTACGCCCGAAGGTCGATCCAGCTTTCCATGTGACAGCTCCTATCGAACTTCCACTCTTTACCAGCCTTCCACGCCGGGGACCACTCCTCTGAGCACTCACCCGTTGGATGTCCGTAAGGCGCTCAAAGTCTATATCAAGCGAGCGCGGGGAATCCGTGCGGGTACCCAGCTGTTCTGTTGTTACGGTGGCGGGAAGGCTGGTGTGCCAGCGAGCAAGCAGACTTTGTCTAAGCTGGCTAGTTCGATGTAATATTTGTGCGGCTTATCAGGCTAAGGGCAAGCCTCCCCTGAGGGGTTGAAGGCTCACTTTCGGTCAGGGCAGTAGCGCATCAAAAGCTTTGCATCGGCACTCCCCATTGAAGAGATCTGCTCTGCGCTATTTGGAGCCGGCCAAACGCGTTTATCACGGCACTATCAGCTCGATACACATTCCCGTGTCGATGCGAGCTTTGGCGTTCTGTTCTCTCCAGTGGACAGTGTCCTGCCACCCTGACCGAGTGAGTCTTGGTTTATTGGTTTGTTTATTTGGCTGCTGTACAATAATGTGTGTATTATTGACATATCTGCTACTGTGAGCTAACTACCCCTTCGATTCTCTCAGGAGTAATTAGTCGATTGTGGCGGTATTGACATTCCCCTACGGTGCTCACTAATCGACACGTGGTGGAGTGGGGTTTTGTTGACATTACGTACCGTAATGCGATTGCCTATGCTAAACGTATGGAGGTCGTCTTTGAGCACAAATCCTCCCTGTCAGTTCCCCTCCCATAATGCCTCTCGCGGAAGCGCAACTGGGACAAGTGACAGGTGAGTGTTATGGCGTCTGTTCAATTTTTTTCCATGATACGATCGCTATATTTTGTGTGTGCTTGGACAGAATTCCCTCCTCCCTGGCCTCCGGTCTTTGGGAGTCTGTGTTTATGCATAATATGTACCCCAAGGACGATCTCTATGAAGAAGAATTAACCAAACCTGAAGAGGTTTTCAATTCTTGAAGAGAGTAGATCCTTGAGAAGTAGAACCTCCGCCTCCCCCAATTCTGTTCACTGATATATTCAGCAGAAGGAATGATGATCACGGGTCTAGGAGCTTACCCAGTTGAGTGCGCATGTAGCGAGGAGGTAACTCCGTGAGGTGGGGGCATTATAATAAATAAAAGAGTTTATTTATTGTACAATCTTTTTATTCAAAAACATTGATACAACTGTCACAGGACATTTTCAGCTTGGAAAATGCATAATATGTACCCCAAGGGCGACTCTCTTGAAGAATTGAAAACCTCTTCAGGTTTGGTTAATAGCCTTGAACAGCAGCCATTATGCTCATGACACACTTCATGGAAGATTACCGTGGAATCCACTGGCATGGGTGTAGGGAAAAATCTGGGATTCCCACTCTAACAGCTGGTACTGACATGGTAGAGAGAGGCAGTGTCTGTGGACACCTAGCCACTATGAAGATTACAGGTAAGACATCTCCCAAGAAAACCAAGCTGGCTGTAGGGAGACTTAATGGATCAATCACAGGTTCATCTAGTCCGGACTGGACTATTTCAGGATATAGCTTGAATATTGCTGCGGCATTATCAAATGAATTACATGTTCATTGGTGTGCCTCGTTCTTCTTGATGCTGATTTTCGGAAATCACCTGATATCCTTGATGCCAATAGGCTGAGTATGGTGATTTGGTTTTCAGGACACAGGCTGCACGTAATCAACCTAAACCAGCAGAGTGACAGCACAGACCTGCTGGGAGGGTAAGCTTGAACACATGTTAGGACTTCTATTGTACGTGCCGTCATACAAGATAAATGATTTAGGCTTTTGGATGGAGATCTTTAATTCTGTATTGTTTTAGTTGAATAGCTGACTGTTACCTGAACGTTAATCTATGTTGTTGATTTGTGTAGTGAGACAACAACTCAAACTTTGACTAAATGCAGACAGACAGTTTACGATAACAATCAACCGAGCTTGGTCTGATAGAGGATGCTTGGTATTTTCGCTGGAGAGAATTCTAAATAAGCTTTTTATACAAATGAATTGTTCCACCAATATCTGTACTTGAGTTGTGCTGACCATATATAATATGGCCTCGTATATGTTTGCAGGTTCAAGCCGGTTGATCTGAAGTTTGTCATCATGCCCTTCAGGGAGGACTTTGAGATGCTTTTCATGAAAACTTTCTCCAGGAAACAAAATACAAGGTTTCTGGGCCACATACAGGTTTGTAGTTGTGATAAAACTAAATTACATCGTATAAAGCTGAAAATATATAATTTCATGGTTTGGTTATTCAAAGTGTGAGTGCCTCTGTTGGCCTGTTAGATAGAGCACCTGCCAGTGAGTGGAAGGTTGGTGGTTCAGTCCCAGTGTTATACTTTAAAATATGGTATGTGTTGTTACCCAGCCTGGTTCTTGAAAATGAATGAGAAAACAATTGTGGGCTTGGAGTTAGTGTGCTATGTTTGATTGCTGTTTCCGTGTAAAAATTGTGGTATTGTTCACCTTATGGCAAATATTCCTTGCAAACTGAAAACTTTAGACATCGATGTTCAACAAGTACATGACAATGAAACTTTCCTAATAATATATTTATAATGGGTATGTACTAATGATATGTATTAGATGATTACACAGTTGTATCTTGTATCTGTCAACCTCCCTCTTCGTTTAACAATTTACAAGGATATCTGGGAGCACTGGGCAAGTTTGTGGTCTTTCAGCCCACTCATTTTTCATGTCACATGATTTGATCCAAGATGTCTGACAGTCAAAATGTACAATCAATAATGAACTATGGTAATCATATAATAAGGACGGTGGGGTGGCCTAGTGGTTAAAGCTTTCACTCGTCACACCTACGACCCGAGGGTACAAATCCCACCTGGATACAATGGGTGAAGCCCATTTCTGGGGTCCCCCGTCTTGGTATTGCTGGAATATTGATAAAAGCAGCGTAAAACTCGCTCACTCACTCATATAATAACATGAATGGTCCCTCTGAGTTCATTGTAGCAGTAATGTCTAGTATATCATGTGTCATTTCCTATGCCAGGATTGTTTCTCTCGGAGAAAGTGGGGTGACTTGCTGACACTGATGGACCACACTCAGAAGTCTGCTGCCAAGAAGTTTGGCAAGGGTAGGACTTTCTCTAAATATGTTCAACATGTGTGAGCTGTTTTTGACCCCCAAAGCACTAGTACACCTGTTTCAAGGCTACCTGTAAATACAAAAGTTGCAGCCACTGCACAAGGGCTCTGTGTCTGTGGGAGTTTACAGTTCATTATGTGTGCTGTAATATGATAGGTCACAAAGCTTTAAGTGAAGCTTAGAAAATGTCAAGATGGGAATTTGAGGCTGTATGCTTTACAGAGTTGTCTCCCTTTTCCAGGACCAGCTTGTGGTCACAAAGGCACCTTGTTCATATGTATACATGGCAGGGCCATGGGATTGAGGGATTTGTTCATCTGATTCCCCTCTTGGGTGCAGTCTGTGAAGCTCAGATCCAGTGTCTGTAGGTGGAATATTGTTGGAATATTACAAAGTAGGGCAAAACACCATGCTTGTGAATGTGTGTTCCTAAAGTAACTACCTGTTCCACCTTTTGTTTGATTGCTACATTCATCTGACACATCTGTAACAGAAATACTGCTGTAAGTGGTATGTTGAGTCTAACTCCCTGGAAATGTTGTTGTCAAGTTGTGGTGGTTTGTGACAGGTACAGAGCATCACCGAGAGTGGAAGAAGATTGGCCGGCGTCTGCATCAGCTCAAGGTTCAGGTGCAGCAGATAGAGAATGCCCTTGCCTTCTCCTTCATTGAGGTATGTTATCTACTCCATCAATAGTGTGGTTGTTTAACTAAACCAGATTTTGTGTCTGTTGTGCCTACTATTGGTTGTTCTTTTTTAAGGGAACCTTGGTGAAAGCATTGCGTGCTGGAGACTGGGTTCTGCTGGATGAGATCAACCTTGCTGCTGCCGAGACACTGGAGTGTCTCAGTGGTCTGTTGGAGAGTACCTCGGGGTCGGTGGTGCTTACAGAGAGGGGGTGAGTGTCTCTATGGGTTGCTGGAGAGTACCTCAGGGTCAGTGGTGCTTACAGAGGGAGGGTGAGTGCTCTATGGGTTGCTGGAGAGTACCTCAGGGTTGATGGTGCTTACAGAGAGAGAGTGAGTGTCTCTATGGGTTGCTGGAGAGTACCTCGGGGTCAGTGGTGTTTACAGAGGGAGGGTGAGTGCTCTATGGGTTGCTGGAGAGTACCTCGGGGTCGATGGTGCTTCCAGAGAGGGGATGAGTGTCTCTATGGGTTGCTAGAGAGTACCTCGGGGTCAGTGGTGCTTACAGAGAGGGGGTGAGTGTCTCTATGGGTTGCTGGAGAGTACCTCGAGGTCGGTGGTGCTTCCAGAGAGGGGGTGAGTGTCTCTATGGGTTGCTAGAGAGTACCTCGGGGTCAGTGGTGCTTGTAGAGAGAGGGTGAGTGTCTCTATGGGTTGCTGGAGAGTACCTCGAGGTCGTTGGTGCTTCCAGAGAGGGGGTGAGTGTCTCTATGGGTTGCTAGAGAGTACCTCAGGGTCGGTGGTGCTTCCAGAGAGGGGGGTGAGTGTCTCTATGGGTTGCTAGAGAGTACCTCAGGGTCAGTGGTGCTTGTAGAGAGAGGATGAGTGTCTCTATGGGTTGCTGGAGAGTACCTCGAGGTCGTTGGTGCTCACTGGGAATGGAGGGTCTCTGTGGTCTGCTGGAGGGTAGCTCTGGATCAGTGGTGCTCACTTGGAGGGGAGGGTGTCAATGCTCTGCTAGAGGGTAGCTCTGGGTCAGTGGTGCTCACTTGGAGGGGAGGGTCTCCATGTTCCTCTGGAAGGTAGCTCTGGATCAGTGGTGCTCACTTAGAGGGGAGGGTGTCAATGCTCTGCTAGAGGGTAGCTCTGGGTCAGTGGTGCTCACTTGGAGGGGAGGGTCTCCATGTTCCTCTGGAAGGTAGCTCTGGGTCAGTGGTGCTCACTGGGAGGGGTGGGTCTCAGTGGTCTGCTGGAGTGTTCTCATCAGTTTTGGATGACTACTTATATTTAAAAAAAAACGTACTGTATTAGGCCAACATTAAATATTTCAGCGATGTGGACCCCGTTGTCCGTCACCGTGAGTTCCGTCTCTTCGCCTGCATGAACCCGGCTACTGATGTTGGAAAGAAGGACCTCACTCCTGGCATCAGAAACAGGTGGGTGAGATGAGTAGTTCCCCTTGGCATCATGCCTTACAGACGTGAAACAAATACATAAACTTGCATATTTGACATGAGATCCAGACGTTCCTGGCATGTTGCATGTAATCTGGCTTGAATTGTGTGTTCAAATCCAGATTAGCCCAGTTTTTTCGGTATGTGACCACCATACACATGCTTCATCAAAGTAATAATGTCTAATACCTGCTTCACTCCCTGTCAGTGGGACATACCTTTGTTAAAACAAACTGTTTCACCCAAGAAGAATCTTCAAACTAAGTGTTCATGTATGGCTGTCTAGCTGAGTAAATAATAGATAGAAAGGTTTGAACATACTCTAGATGTGTTACATTGAATGATGTACACTTTAATGGGATTTGATTTTGGAAAGCAGCTGGTCTGGAGCAGAATATGTCCCCATGACCAGATGCTTGTATTAGGAACCAACTGATGCAGATCTGATGTTCAGAATGTGTATCTGGGCCCACACATGGTCATTGCTGATGCTACCACCTATTGCCCTGCCTGACTTGGTCATACATAGGCAGATATGATGCTCTTGAAATATTGCTTCATGGCATAAAATAACACTCACTCACTGACTGTTCTAACCCTCCCCAGGTTCACGGAGCTCTACGTGGATGAGCTGGAGGACACACAGGACCTGAAGATTCTGACCAATGACTATCTCCGTGGTTTGTCGCTGTCCTCCTCACAGGTCGACGGGATTGTCAAGTTCTACCTCACCGTGCGCAATGAGGCGAACAAACGACTTACTGATGGCACTGGGCATAAACCTCATTTCAGGTAACAACCAGAAGTATTTACATAATTACATATTTGGAATCGGTACATTGTAGTGAGAATATATCAGGTTGTATTCTGTTTAATATGTTGCTGTTGTTAATAGGTGGGGACATTCATGATTTTGCTTCTGGTATTATGACATAGCCTGGTGATGTTATGACATAGCCTGGTGATGTTATGACATAGCCTGGTGATGTTATGACATAGCCTGGTGATGTTATGACATAGCCTGGTGATGTTATGGCATAGCCTGGTGATGTTATGACATAGCCTGGTGATGTTATGACATAGCCTGGTGATGTTATGGCATAGCCTGGTGATGTTATGACATAGCTTGGTGATGTTATGGCATAGCCTGGTGATGTAATGACATAGCTTGGTGATGTTATGGCATAGCCTGGTGATGTTATGGCATATCCTGGTGATGTTATGGCATATCCTGGTGATGTTATACCATAGATTTGTGATGTTATTGCATGGCTTGATGTTGTTATTACATATCTGAATGGTATGAAAATAAAACAGCTTGGTGATGTTATTAGATAGCTTGTGATGTTATTACATAGCTGGGTGGTGTTATTAGATAGCTTGTGATGTTATTACATAGGTGGGTGGTGCTATTAGATAGCTTGTGATGTTATTACATAGCTTGGTGGTGTTATCAGATAGCTTGTGATGTTATTACATAGCTTGGTAATGGAAGTCTGATTTGGTCTTGAATTTCAGTTTGCGAACCCTGTGCCGGGCCCTGAAGTTCGCCTCCAGTAACCCGTGTGGCCTTGTAGCACGATCTCTGTATGAGGTATGAGATGCGGGCAAGCTATAACATGACCCTCTTTCTTTTTCCTGTTCCATTAAGTAAATGCATTTTGGACTGGCCAGCTAAGATACTGTCTTGCATTTCATATTATACTCAAAAGAAGTTTTTATCCTCCGCAACAACGAAGTTGCAGGGGGTATAGATACAAGTTCCGTGCGTCCACGCATACGTCACACTTTGTCCAAAGCATATTTCCTAAACTATTCGTGATAGCTTAACCAAACTTGGTACACATGTCAACCATGATCTCAAGATGTGACTTTTGGGGGTTAGACCCCGATGCAAATTTTTATTTTTTGCGGTTTCCATGGAAACATGACTTATGCTGTGACTATGAAGACGTCATCTTGTCCGGAGAAGATCTCCCAAACTATACATGCTAGCTTCATCAAACTGGGTACATATATCAAGCATGATCCCTAGATGTGCCTTTTGGGGGTTAGACCCAGATATGAACTTTATTTTTTGCGGTTTCCATGGTGTTACAGTTAAATAATTGCCGAGACAAAAGGTTTAAGAATCCCCTTTGAACCAGCAAAATATAACACAGACAAGTCTAAAATATTCAATAATATATTGAGCAAACAATGAGCAAGATACAATGAATCACAATACAGATTTCTAGTGCAATGCAATTGAGTCACAAATCTAATGTTTTGAGTCACAAATATAAAATATCAACTCACCATGAGCCTTGGTAATTACAGTGAGATCAGATATCCTAAATGAAGCTTCTTTACAAATGAGAGCTGTCAGGCACAAAGTGTCAGACAATGTTGACAGACAGACGACGGCAGGTGACGGCAGAAAGATGCACTCAACTCCAGTGATATGAAAAGTCACGTGTAATTCCGTGTGTTAGTCCGTGTGATTCCGCAACAAGCAGCCTTTATATATACTGGCACAGAGTCTTGAACATTCTTTATCCACTGAGAACATTCGTGAAACGTGGAACATACGACCAGGAGTCAAAACATAATAAAGCCAAGGGAGGCAACTCTGGAGTGCTGTCCCAAAAGGCGTGCCGCTAAAATAGCTATATATATTGAACATATATGATGCGAAATGCGACCCACAACCCACACTCAAAACTTTAAACATTGTGACTCATGATAACTATCACCTAACCAATGTTATTACAAATTACAAAAAAAACACTCTCGTAACAATGGAAACGTGACTTAGGTTGTGGCTATGAGGATGTCATCTTTGTCTTGTCTTCTAATTTCTAAACTATACATGCTAGCTTCATCAAGCTTGGTACACATATCAAGCATGATCCCTAGATGTGCCTTTTGGGGGTTAGACCCAGATAATAATTTTTGTGGTTTCCATGGAAACATGACTTAGGCTGTGACTATGAGGATGTCATCTTGTTGCATTTCCATGGCAACAAGTTAGGCTTCAACAGAATTTGGTGGTAGTGCTCCTTTCTGGAGCAGATCTTAAAAACCTTTCGATACTCTCCTTCCACTTAGCTGTATACACTACAAAACATTTGACATAATCATATCTAGTAGACATATTCATAAAGAGTATTTTGCCGTTGAGGGGGATATTAATGACTTTGTCTTCTTGTTGTCAACTGGTTCAGTGCTATTAACTCAGATCAAACGAATTAGAGACAATGCTGTGATGTTTGTTGTACCCTTTGTACGGTATGGACCTAGGAGCTCCTACACGTATATTGCCCCCAAAATGCTTGTGAAGGATAATAACTGAGGAGGTTTTTTTTCTAACTTAATGACTAAAAGAAAAGTTTGAAATATAATTCTTCTACAAATTTGTGTTTCAGGGTTTCTGCCTTAGTTTCCTGACCCAGCTGGACCGGTCGTCCCACCCCGTGGTGGAGAAGCTTGTGTGTCAGCATGTAGTAGGGAAGGCCAACATCAAGGCTATTCTCAAACAGCCGCTGCCACAGCCCCACGGTGCCAAACACCTCAAGTTCGAGGGTTACTGGATATCCCAGGGTGCACTGGAGCCTCATGTGCCAGACAATTACATTCTCACACCATCAGTCAGAGAAAACTTGCGAGATTTGGCCCGAGTTATCTCAGCTAGGTAAGAATTGGTGATAATAGAAATTATTAACAACATTGTTCTATAGTACTAAAAATGTTAACAAGTGTAATTTGTCATTATAATTACCACGGCTCCAGATAAGGGCCGTATTGGCGTATGTACGGATAAAAAATATGCACGATACGGTAGGAAGTAATTTAGAAAACGTAGCACATACGCACCACAGCAATGCTGTACGGTCATGGAATCATTTACAGACGTATTTATCTGAAAGAGTGTCGTTTATTGTTTATTGACCTGTTTACACAAGAGTAGTAATGTTGTGGTGCATATATGAAACGAAACACAAGATTACTGATACGCCATTAAATTCCATTCAGTACTCAAAATGTACTCTTAAGTTTATCCAGTACTCCTATATTGAAAATATAAGGAGGACGTACTCCTGATGTTGAAAAATTATCTGGAGCCCTGAATTACCATTAAGCATTATCCATCTTCTTCAGTAACTCATGCTTGTAACAGGAGACAAACAGGATTGAGTGGCCAGGGTGACTGACTTCGATGATGCATTTTATGATATGCCTGTTTGGTAGATTGTTGCTCATGATGTCAATCACTGGATTGTCTGGGCCAGATTCAGTTATGACCTGACCATCATCATTTAAGTCAAGCATTGCCGAATGAGAGGTTAAACTACTACACATGGTGCCGTCTGCTTGTCTCCGCAGCCAGCACCCAGTGCTGCTACAGGGTGAGACGTCGGTGGGGAAGACGAGTCTGATCACGTGGTTGGCACAGTCCAGTGGGAACCAGTGTGTGAGAGTCAACAACCATGAACACACGGACCTGCAGGAGTATGTTGGCTGTTACGCAGCAGATGAGTCTGGCAAACTTGTCTTCAAGGAAGGTGAGGTTCTGTCCGGTATTGCCCTGATCCTAGATCTATCTCACAACCATCATGGCCACTTAACTCTCCCTAATGTCTTAATTGTGGATGCAGTGCTGGCAGATATTGTTGCTTGAGCAGTTCTCAAGCATAAATTAGTATGCAAATTTCAACTGTGAGCTTATTAGCTGCAACTGTTGTTAAAAGAAAGAGAAACATTCTGTTAATTGTTGAGGGCATCACTTGCCCATATTGTCCCCACAATAGGCCCCAGTATCTCATGCTTGTTGTAAGAGTTGTCTAAAGAGGGCCGAGTGGTCTGACTTGGAGACTTGGCTGAATGTCTTTGTACACCCCTTGTTTTGTCTGTTGGTGAGCAGTGTCTTCACTGTTGACAAAGTTTCTCATTTGTTGTATGTTACTTGTTAGTTTTGGTGAGTTTAGTCAGTTGTTATCTGTTGGTGAGTTTAGTCAGTTGTTATCTGTTGGTGAGTTTAGTCAGTTTTTATCTGTTGGTGAGTGTTATTGTTGAGGGTTATCTCTTTGTGACTGTTGCTTCTTAATATTTGTTGTCGATTTCTGTTGGGGACAGTTAGTGACTGCTGTTGCCTGTTGTTGATTGTTGTCTGGTGGGGTCTGTTGTCTTTTTTTTATGTTGAGTGTTACTGTCTGTTGTCTGGTGGTCAGTAGTATTGCCTACTGGTATCTGTCAGTAACAACCGTTTTGTGTGTCAGGTGTCCTGGTGGAGGCGATGCGACAGGGACATTGGATCATCCTCGACGAGCTGAACCTGGCCCCAACTGACGTCCTAGAGGCCCTCAACAGGGTGAGTGCATAGCGGCAGTTGCCATATTCCTTCCCATGTTCATTGGTTAATGTCAGTGTTTATTTATGTCACTACTGGTGCCTATGAATTGTCTCATTTTAAAAGTCTCCAGGATTTACAGTGACGACTGCATCTCTGACTGTCAACAGATCATAAAAGTCTGATTACAAATACTATTTCTTGGTGTTGAAAATTAAATTTGAGTGATTATTGCAGATTGAAAACAAAAGCTGTCTTGTTAGGTCAAACCAGACAGACTGCAGGAGTGTCTTGTGATGACATTCTGCTGTTGTGTTTTCCAAGAAGTTCTGTAGGTGATGTAACACTTTCAATGTTGATTCTTCCCCAGCTGTTGGATGACAACCGAGAACTGTTTATAGCGGAGACCCAGGAGACGGTGAAGGCTCACCCCAAGTTCATGCTGTTCGCTACCCAGAATCCTCCAGGAATGTATGGAGGCAGGAAGGTACGACATGTACAGGATCTGTAACACGTGTTTGTAGCTTGACAGATTTTACTCTCATCTTAACCATTCCGAATGATTTTCTGACATCTGTAGGAATAATGTTTGTAGATGGACTTATGTTAATGTGAGCATACCAATAACAAGATAATGTTTTCTAGATGCTGTCTCGAGCCTTCAGGAATCGTTTCATTGAGCTACACTTCAACGAAATACCAAGCATTGAACTGGAGACGATTCTCCATCAGCGCTGCAGCATCCCACTGTCCTACGACAAACGACTTGTCAAGGTCATGCTGGAGCTTCAGGTAAGACGGCCAGATAAACTAACGGGATTGAATAGATACATTAGTCATTTGCAACTATTGAACTCTGGTCTCACTGCTCGGTAGACATGACTTCTCAGATCGTAAGATCTACCTATTTTGTTCTTATATTTTTTATGAAAGGATCTCAAACTGTGTTAGTTTGGTTTTATGTTCTCAATTCTTTAACGTGGCCATGTTGACCATCTGCTTCAGATGAGGCGGCGTGGATCAGGGGTGTTTGCAGGAAAGCAGGGCTTCATGACGTTGAGGGATCTGTTCCGGTGGGCAGAGAGGTACAGCAGTACTGATGTCAAGACAAGTGCCAAGTTCTACGATTGGGACCAGCACCTTGCTGATCATGGTATGACAGTAGCGGCTTTCTCAAATATCAGTTGATGGAAACAATGTAGGAACTAATCTTTGATTTCTGATCATACTGTGTAGATTCTGATAGAGAAATATTGTTGTTTACTGTATGTCTGTCATTAGTACCTAAAACTTGAGGAGAAGATCAATGGGTCCCAGTCCTGATGACTATGAAGTCTACATTTATCAGTAACCTAGTAACAGGGGAGAGCATCGCTGAGCAGTTTCAACAGAAAGGGAGATAAAAGTGTATTGTTCACAATTCCATGTAATTATTTCATTTTCAGGTTGGTATTGACTTAAGAAAAGTGATGAAAGCTGAATATCGAATAAGGATTTCAATATTATACTTTTCTAACATCTATGTTTCAATAAATTGTCACTCACTGATTTGAAGTTTGTGTAGACCAGTGGTCGAACTGTATGATATAAATGTCCTCTACATGTCCTCTACATGTCCCCTAGGCTATTTCTTCATCAGATCACACATGTTAATGTCACCTACATCAATTCGAGGAGTGTACATCTAGCCGTCCTGTACATGCCTACATTAGGTCACTGCTCACTCATGTCATATGCTGCCCTGTGCATGTTCTGTAGGCTACATGTTGCTGGCTGGCCGTGTGAGGAAGGCGGACGAGTCTGTTGTTATTCAAGAGGTCCTCAAGAAGCATCTGAAGCGGGATGTCAATTCCAGCCTGCTGTTTGACTTGACTGGCAAGACGTCCACATCAACAGCCCCCTTGTTGAAGGAGGTCACTGACCAATCAGTGGAGGGCTTTCAACACATAGTGTGGACACACAATATGAGAAGACTGGCTGTTCTCATTGGCCAGGCCATCAAGTTCAGGGAGCCTGTGCTGCTGGTCGGAGAAACTGGGTGAGTGTTTCTGTTTGTCTTGTTATAGAGGTTCCATCATAACCACCAGTGTGGACACTGCAGAAATCCTGCTTGTTTCATCATAAACACACAGACACAGTTGACAACAGTACAAAACCAGTGACATCAGTCAGCGCAAATGTGCAACAAAAGCCCTTGCACTTCTGCTTTCAGCCAACCAGAAACAGTTGTTTATTAGTAGGTCATGGCTTTACTGTTCTTCAATTCACTGAGACAAAATCACAACTTATATAGTCTAACTTCTTTGAGTGGCATTTTAGAAGTTGGGAAGTACAATATAGAACAAACTTTATGGATAATAACTTCTTTTTATTCGTGAGTACCGTTGTCAAGCATAATGGAACATGAAGAAGGGGGAAGTGTATATATACTGGATGTAACAATGTAACATGTAACAATGTTTGATGTGGATGGCTTCGGTGAGCTTGCGTTTAGTGAATATAATAGAGTGGTCTGACATCACCATTCTCTCTAACAAACAAACAGACTTCACTAAACGCAAGGTCACCGAAGCCATCCACATCAAACGCTAAAAGCCCACCATCAACCGAGACCAAGGATACTTCATTCCATCCGCTTATGATGCACTCATCCACCAAGCCCAATCTACTGTATAAACTCTGCTGTATAAACATCTCATTATTTGGACATCATTGGCTTCCACGCCTGTCCTTTGTCTACTCTCTGGCTTCATCAGCTTTCTGCCTAGCCAATTATGTTAATTATGTTGTTTTCTTTGTTACATTGTTACATTGTTACATCCAGTATATATACACTTCCCCCTTCTTCATGTTCTATTACGTTGACAACGGTACAAGAATGTGTATCGAAACGTCGCACTCATGAATAAAAAAGAAGTTGTTATCCATAAAGTTTGTTCTATATTATATAGTCTATCAAATTCCATGGAATCACATGTCCTGAAACCATTGCTGTTTGTATGAGACAACTTACTCAGTAAGATGACTATTGTGTGAATGAAATGGTATAAAAGTATATCTGTGTTGTACTTGGTGCTTACTGGTTGACATGGTGCATAGCTTGGCCTCGTTGAAATTTCCTGTTATGTATTTTGTACATATATCCTCCCCCAGTTGTGGCAAGACGACAATATGTCAGTTGTATGCAGCCATGAGAGGGCGCCACCTGTACAGTGTTAACTGCCACCTCCACACAGAGAGTGCCGACTTCCTCGGGGGACTAAGGCCAGTTCGTTCTCACGCAGAACAGGTAGGTCATTATTTCTACAAAAGAGGACAGAAAGAATTATTTGTAATGTCTAAACATAAGACTCTGACAAACCCACAGATAATATTTTCACAGTTACTCAGAAAACATTGTTTGAGTTGCTCAAAAGCTAACTCCCATAGCTGCTGTATTTGTCTCTCTTCTGACAGACATGTTTTTTCAGGTAGAGGTGACATGTTTTTTTAACTGGTGTCGTGGAGGCACAAGGCATTTCAGTTTGGAGGCTTTACCATTACCCTCTTCACTTCCCATACCTGGTGTCCCCTGCCATGATAGCTGGAATATTGCTAAAAGCGGCGTAAAACCATACTCACTCACTCATCTCATTTGTATTCCAGGATGACCCGAAGGAGATGAAGCTGTTTGAGTGGTTGGATGGCCCGCTGGTGACGGCCATGAAGGAGGGCAGCATGTTCCTCATCGACGAGATTTCCCTGGCAGACGACTCGGTGCTGGAGCGGCTTAACAGTGTGTTGGAGCCAGAGCAGACGCTGCTGCTGGCGGAGAAGGGTCGCGGAGATGGGGGCAGCAACGTGGTGGAGCAAGTCAAGGCGGTAGCAGGATTCCAGGTGTTCGCAACCATGAATCCTGGTGGGGATTTCGGCAAGAAGGAGGTGAGGAAAAATCGTTCTATGTATTGGTAGGTAAAACAGATATGTCAGCCATAGGATTTGGGCAGCATGCTTGTGTTATTTGTATAAAAATTCACAAGTGTAGTGATATAGATTTCACTATGTATTTGAAGTATAGACAGCATTGATGTGACAATGTATGGTACCATCATACCACATACCACATACCTCATGTTTGCTGTAAGAGATCTAAAACGAGACCTTATAGGAACCACATTCTTCAGTAATCTGCATTAAAGTCCAATCTTACATTGTTGTGTGAGATTTGCTGTAATATACTGCTGGTTTAGATCCAATGATTGCATATATAGAAATTTGCTGAAGGAGTTGAACTTCTGAGAAATCGCAAGTATTTGTGTTTAAATCATCTTGGCAAGTTAAGGCATGAAACTTTCTGTGGACAATTCGTTATTGCTTGCAGCAATAGTTATTCTGGCCACTTCATAGATTGCATTCTGTGAAGTTCATCCATATAAATTCCATGACCTAATGTTCTTCCAGCTATTACCTATCAAAGAATTAACAACAAAATATGTGTGTCCTAACAAACATTACCGGCAAATCAATGACTCTTCACCTTGGATGACCCGGGCTTGTTGCAGCTGTCGCCGGCACTACGGAACAGGTTCACTGAGATCTGGTGTCCACCCTCGTGTCAGAGGGACGACCTTGAGGAGATCATTGAACACAACATCCGTGACGGCCTTGTTCTGGGCAACCAACAGGATGGCACCACTGGGTTTGGAGCGGCCATATTAGATTTCATTGAGTGGTTCTCAAATAATGAAATTGGAAAGAAGTAAGTACCACTGTCGTATTGGTGTGAACCATGGAAATGTAGTTGGTTTAGGTGGCAGTATGTTGAGATGAAGAGAAGTATATCGAATGAAAGATTTTATAACATTCATAAGATTTATCATCCAAAACTAGCTTCCAAAGAAGATATCACTTCAATGGTGTCAAGAAATATCTCCAAGGAGATAGGGCTACAGTGCAATTCCATCATTGTGCTTTTCAGAACTTTATGATATCTTCAGTTGTCCTACTGTGATTTCCCAGTCCAATGACTAACCTTGAACTAAATGTATTTTGATGAAGACTGAAAAGATATACTGGGATATAAATACTTGTGACCATATGACGATGATGTCAGTGTTGGATGCTTGTTGGACTCTGTGTTGCGTTTTGTGTAAAAAAAAAGTAATATTTTTAAGTCCATATGCTAATTTGGAGTCAAACTAAAGCCCTTTTTGGAACAAGATGTCCAATAGAAGGTCATACAAAACTGACACACCAGTTTTTGAAACAGAATGATTCAGTATTGATATCAACTTAGACTATTTGGTATGCAGTTTTCACTGGACATGTCTGCTGAATACGGGACCGTTAACCCTCAAAATGTCTGGTCGCAGTCAAACTTTACCACTCAGTATCTTGTATAAACTAGAGAACAGAAACATGGGAGCTGGCCAGGAGTTACTGACTTCAAAACATAGATGTGTGTGTTTCCATGGTTACTAACTCTTGCCAGTTTTGCCTTGCATCGTGCAACAGGTCCACATTACATACACAAGAAAAGACTTGCACGTTACATTTGTGTTAAAACAATGTCAACATTATTCTCTGTTGTTGTTATGACGTCTTTCTACACCTTCTCAGGTGTACAGTGAGTATTCGAGACATCCTGTCCTGGGTCAACTTCATCAACACCTGTGCCACACCCGATTTTGGGGATGTTTCTATGGAAACCTCAGAAAGTGGCCTTGACCCTGTGAGGGCATACATCCACGGAGCTTGTCTTGTTTTTCTGGACAGTCTAGGAAGTGGTAAGTGGTCATTTACTCGTAGACTGTATCAGATTAACAACACATAATTATCGCAATATTGTCAGTGGAATATTTCAGGTTTACGTGTTTGGCTCAGGCGTATTTAACCTCTATTTAGACTCATTAAGATCCAGGGTAGAATTGGTCTTCAGTAGCGCATGTTTGTCATTAGAGGCGACTAATGGGATCGGGTGGTCAAACTCGCTGACTTGGTTGACATGTGTCATCGTATCCCAATTGCGCAGATCGATGCTCATGCTGTTGATCACTGGATTGTCTGGTCCAGACTTGTTTATTTACAGACTGTCGCCATATAGATGGAATATTGCTGAGTGCGGCGTAAAACTAAACTCACTCACTCACTAATCTGATAGGGAATCAACAGACCTACAGCATGATAACTAGCTTCCTGCAGTACTTGTACAGTATGTTTTATGTTTATTATGACTCGAATCATCTGAACCTTGTGGCTGTTCTTTGACCCTTCTAATTATCGTAATCATATTGTTTCAAAATTGCTCAATGTAGTGCTCCCTGTTGCCTCACAGGTACTTCAAGTCACACGGCTGACTTCAGTGTAGAGGTAGCCCGTGACACATGCCTCCAGTATCTCGTCAAGCAGGTCAATTCTTTTGGTGGCCATGATTACAACATGGCTGACTTGCATCTGTGTCTCCAGAAAGAGGCTGCAGGGAAGATGGATGTTGTCAGCACGGATGATGTGTTCTCCATACCTCCCTTCAGCATTCCGAGAGGTATTTACATCACCTGTCTTGTGAATGTTTTACTTAGTGATTCTGTAATCTGTATGATATCAACGAACATACATCCTTGCATGATTCAGCTTTGTGTCGTGATTACTAAAGCTGCAATGCATACACTATGAGATGAATTTGGTGTGTAGTGTACAGTAATGAATACAAATATTTATTCATGATTACTTAATGCTTGTCGTAAGAGGCGACTAACAGGATCGGGTGGTCAGGCTCGCTGACTTGGTTGACACATGTCATCGGTTCCCAATTGCGCAGATCGATGCTCATGATGTTGATCACTGGATTGTCTGGTCCAGACTCGATTATTTACAGACTGCCGCCATATAGCTGGGATATTGCTGAGTGCGGCGTAAAACTAAACTCACTCATGTCATGTAATTTCTTAGATGGGAACATTTCAATGAGATTTTCTGTAATGCCCAAAAGCAGTACCAATAGCGGGACCAATAGCCTCCTGACATAAGTTATGCTGCTGCATGGCTGAAGACAGTCCATTTTGCATGTCTCACTTAGATAAACAACAAACAAATTGCAAGTAAAAAGCACTCTCTTAAGACTATTTTGTAAATATCCAGTTCTAGTAAACATCGAATAATGAATTAAATTGATGAAGGAATATGGTTCAATTCACCTAATACATCATAACAGGACCAATGATTATACCACAGTAATAAGGCAGATTGAATGCTTGTGTTTTCTGTCAGGTGACCTTCACCCTGAGTCCAGCACCAAGTATGCCCTGCAGGCACCAACCACCTGCATGAATGCACAGCGGGTTCTGAGGGCACTGCAGTTGCCACGCCCACTGCTTCTGGAGGGGTCACCAGGGGTCGGGAAGACCAGTCTCGTCACCGCAATAGCTCGGTCAGCCGGGCGCGAACTTGTACGCATCAATCTGTCCGAGCAGACGGTGAGTTTCAACATGACTTCATATAGGCCCCATAGGTAGCCCAAACAATGGGCCACCAGTTTTTGTAGAAAAGTAGGTGTATTAAGTAAAACAAAGGATTAGTTAATCACACTTTGTGCCCTCGGTTTTTTTTACCTCACATCCCAATAATCTGTATCATAAGCAGCCAGGATTGTTTCTTCAGAACATCAATCACTGGATCACTGTTCCATTATTTAAATCTATAAAACGGTAATCTTTTCCCTGCTCATTGTCTATTGATGTTCCAAGACCAACATGGATGCCTGATGTTGCAGGATGTGACAGACTTGTTTGGTGCCGACCTGCCTGTGGAGGGTGCAGAAGGGGGGAGGTTTGCATGGAGGGATGGCCCCCTCCTGCAGGCACTGAAGGCCGGTCATTGGGTTGTCCTTGATGAGGTGAGAAGGTCATGTATGTTAACATTAATGTTTATTTAGCAAGTTATGACTGTCTTGACATTAACATGTTTGGTGACTAGCACTTTGATTGTTCAACTGGTCTTAACATGATCTGTGAATGCTTTTGAGTGACCATGAAGATTCACACACTGTCGTTGAGGCTGTCGTTGGGTGTTTCAGTTGAACCTGGCCTCCCAGTCTGTGTTGGAGGGGCTTAACGCCTGTCTGGACCACAGAGCCGAGGTGTTCATCCCGGAACTCGGCAAGACTTTCACCATTCAACACGAGCAGTCGCGACTGTTTGCCTGTCAGAACCCACTCAGCCAGGGCGGAGGACGGAAGGGACTGCCTCGCTCATTCCTCAACAGGTTCACTCAGGTGAGTGTTTGGGTTCATGTCACATGTCATCTTTGTTGTGAAGCCTTGTTACAGTATGTCTTTGTTTCTATCCATAGTAAAGCTGTCTGTCACAGATAAGAGACTATATATATGTTCATAAAAACAGCCTACTTGCTCAAGGGCCCAAGGCCAAGTAAATGTAGAAATTCTATTTGCCCAGTCTGATTTTCAACTTGCCTTGCAAAATCAGAGAAAAGATAAAATATTTTACTTGAAACGAAGCATTATGTCATTGAGCCTGGTAGTTACAAAGTACTTTCAGTGCACACAATCTATCTTTTATGTTTCAACTGATCATTTTCACACTTCCTCAACACTTCGGGCAAGTCGGGTTTGGAAATCCCACTCCCCTATCTTTTTGGTTAATTGTCTGTAACAGGTGTATATCTGGTTGTGTGGTGTATGTTACAGGTGTATATCTGGTTGTGTGGTGTATGTTACAGGTGTATATCTGGTTGTGTGGTGTATGTTACAGGTGTATATCTGGTTGTGTGGTGTATGTTACAGGTGTATATCTGGTTGTGTGGTGTATGTTACAGGTATACATAGAGCCTCTATCGAGAGGGGTACTGTTGTCTGTAACAGGTGTATATCTGGTTGTGTGGTGTATGTTACAGGTGTATATCTGGCTGTGTGGTGTATGTCACAGGTGTATATCTGGTTGTGTGGTGTATGTTACAGGTGTATATCTGGTTGTGTGGTGTATGTTACAGGTGTTTATCTGGTTGTGTGGTGTATGTTACTGGTGTATATCTGGTTGTGTGGTGTATGTTACAGGTGTATATCTGGTTGTGTGTATGTTACAGGTGTATATCTGGTTGTGTGGTGTATGTCACAGGTGTATATCTGGTTGTGTGGTGTATGTTACAGGTATACATAGAGCCTCTATCGAGAGGGGATCTGTTGTTTATAACAGGTGTATATCTGGTTGTGTGGTGTATGTTACAGGTGTATATCTGGTTGTGTGGTGTATGTTACAGGTGTATATCTGGTTGTGTGGTGTATGTTACAGGTATATATAGAGCCTCTATCGAGAGGGGTACTGTTGTCTGTAACAGGTGTATATCTGGTTGTGTGGTGTATGTTACAGGTGTATATCTGGCTGTGTGGTGTATGTCACAGGTGTATATCTGGTTGTGTGGTGTATGTTACAGGTGTATATCTGGCTGTGTGGTGTATGTCACAGGTGTATATCTGGTTGTGTGGTGTATGTTACTGGTGTATATCTGGTTGTGTGGTGTATGTTACAGGTGTATATCTGGTTGTGTGTATGTTACAGGTGTATATCTGGTTTGTGTGGTGTATGTCACAGGTGTATATCTGGTTGTGTGGTGTATGTTACAGGTATACATAGAGCCTCTATCGAGAGGGGATCTGTTGTTTATAACAGGTGTATATCTGGTTGTGTGGTGTATGTTACAGGTGTATATCTGGTTGTGTGGTGTATGTTACAGGTGTATATCTGGTTGTGTGGTGTATGTTACAGGTATATATAGAGCCTCTATCGAGAGGGGTACTGTTGTCTGTAACAGGTGTGTATCTGGTTGTGTGGTGTATGTTACAGGTGTATATCTGGTTGTGTGGTGTATGTCACAGGTGTATATCTGATTGTGTGGTGTATGTTACAGGTATACATAGAGCCTCTATCGAGAGGGGATCTGTTGTTTATTACCACGTCCATGTTCCCAGTCATCCCAGAGGAAATCTTGGCAGCCATGGTGGACTTCAACATCGAGGTAAGATGACGCACACTGTTGGCGCTACTAATTTACTAGTCCCCCCATCTCCCCCCACAAATTATGTCACATCGTTTTATGAACTTTAAGGTGGTGCTGGATTCTAAAGGTAGGCTATTGAATGGTATTAAACTAATGTGTCAACTTTAAATGCATTTGAAGTATTTTTGTATTATGCTCAATTTGATTATGCACTCGGTATCATGTCTGCCTATTTGTGAATGTGATTTAATATTGCAAGGATACATTTGATCAACTTCTTGACTGGAATTCCCACAGTTCAGTCAAATGAGATTCTGACATGTTATAGATGAGAATAGTTCCAAAGACAATAATAAACTAGTTTCTGTGTTTCATAAAATTGGCATTACACAATATTTGTGTGGTATAGTCATCTTCAAAATCTGGCACCCACAAGAGATATTGCGGACAGTTGTGACGTCATTGGTGACCATGATGTCACTACACAATGACATCAGTAGTGCCTGGTTATAAGGGCTGGTTAGCTGTACTATTTCACACTTTTCAGTAATGTTGAAAAGTTGAACCCGTGAAGGTCCGGGTTAGAATGTACCTTCAGTAACCCATGCTTGTCGTAAGCGGCTAATAGGATCACGTGGTCAGGCTCGCTGGCTTGGTTGTCTCATGTCATCACTTCCCAATTGCGCAGATCGATGCTCATGCTGTCGATCACTGGATTGTCTGGTTCAGACTCAATTATTTACAGACCGCCACCATATAGCTGGAATATTGCTGAGTGCAGCGTAAACTAAACTCACTGAAAAGTTTAAAGTTTAAAGTATGATTTGGAATGATAAATGGAATCTCACCCTCATATCTCTTATGTATAAAAAATATTGGCAAGCTGCATAATTATAAGCCTGTTTTTATGAATGTTGAAGACACTTGGGTGGGATATTCTGTTAACTAGAGTAACTTTATGAGCTCTTTGTCATCTTTCTAAGTGCCACACATCTCTTCCAATGGTGATATGGTATATAAGGGTACAGGCTGTTACTCTGATAGGTCACTATGAATTTCAGATATTTAAATGTTTTCTTTGTTATTCTTATTAACTCTTTAAAAGTATATTGATTTTAGTTCTTTGTGGATATTAATACTGAGATGGCTGTTTTTTGTGCTGTGATTCCAGCTCCACAACCAGACAATGAAACAGGGCTTGTGGGGACACCGCGGAGGACCCTGGGAGTTCAATCTGCGGGACTTGTTCGCTGGTGTGAGGTGCTGCTGGCCAATCAGGTGTCCGGAGACTTCCACTCAGGAGAATATGTGAGGCTGGTCTACACTGATCGGATGAGGACATTGGCAGACAAGGCAAAGGTAGATAACTGCTAGGGGAAAACTGATTTGGATCAGCATACTTTCACTACATGAACACTTATTTTTCAACTTTTGAATATTCTTAAACAAGATTACACAAACTTCCTTCCCATTTCGTTCTCGGAAACTGAGTATGCTAATCTGAGATAGGCTTTTAGTGAGATAGGCTAAAAGCGGCATAAATGTAAACTCACTCACTCACTCACTCACTCTTTACAACTGAAAGTTTGGATGAGAACATGGAATCTTGGATTTTGGACACATGGTTGACCAGGAAATCCTGACAGAATCTGTCCTCTCACACCGTCATGGTTTGTTGGTGCCAGGCTTGATGTCGTGGCTTTAGGGAGATAATCCCATATCTGGATTTTCTCACAAAATCATTTGCTGTTTGTGATAAAGGTGTGAAATGATGTACAAACTTTGAACTATATCTGGCATTGAAGACGTTTCAAGTGGTTGAAGCATTCATAATATATCAGTAAGATGTGACAATCCTCTTGACTAGTTTCTTTCATAGTTGTTTGTCATCTATCATTGTATGGAGGAATTTCTATAACAGTCTAGCTAGGTAATAACATAATAACTTCAAGACAAATATTATTTCCTTTCACAAAGATAGGAATAGAGAGTGGACATTAAGTGTGGATGCAGTTTTCTGGAAGAGGGTGTGCACTTAAAATGAAAAAAAAAAGAATAAATGGGAAAAAATGTAGTTTGTTTTGCACGAATGAGTCAGTTTGTTGAAATTTTTGTAGGAAATGTGTCAATAAATGAGTTAGTTTATATACAGTCAAATACCGATGAGTCGAATGCCGGTGTCTCGAATATTATGCATAACTCGAAGTACCTGTCGGTCCCGACCATTCCCTGTTATAGTTGTCATCATTTGAATACCGGTTACACTAATTCGTCTCATAAATACACACGATGACTCGAGAAGAAAATCGGGTCCCATGAGATTCAAACAACAGCAATCTTGTATACATAAGCCGAAGTCAGTCAATGAGAAGTTGATTGGTGTAGCAAACTGATCCAATTAACAAACCAGCGCGGCTCACACCTTTCCGTGATGGGTGAGTTACAAAGGCAGATTAGTGATTTTACGGAAATCACTGTCTGTGCTAATCAGACTGTAACTGATAAGGTGCCCCTATTAGTGATAGGGAAATCATTAAATAAACAAATGCTTAGGCGGAGGAATTAGGACTGGATCATCTTTTTTCTACCCTCATAGACATACCTATGTCTCGAATACATCGATAAGTCGAATTTATTACTTGGTCCCCAGAGATTCGACTCATCGGGATTTGACTGTATTTATAACTCATGCTTTGGAAAAGGGGTTTGGGAGAACTTGCTGACCCATATCCCGCCTCTATCTGCATTTGGGAAATGTTTACAGAGCTACATGTGCAAGCTTACATACACACAGATATTTAAATAGTGCTCTGTGCTATGTAGGAGTGAGTGAGTGAGTTTAGTTTTACGTCACACTCAGCGATATTCCAGTTATATGGTAGTCTATAAATAATTGTGTCAGGACCAGACAATCCAGTGATCAACAGCATGAGCATCAATCTACACAATTGGGATACGATGACAAGTGTCAACCAAGTCAGTGAGTATGACCACCAGATCCCGTTAGTCGCCTCTTACAACAAGCATGGGTTAATGAAGATCAATACTAACCCAGATCTTCATGGGTAGCTATGTTGGATGTTGTCTTACAACATTGTGTGTAGCTTTAGATAACTTGTTTTTTTAAGTGTGAACATGACGACATGCATTGCTGTTCGACACCAGGTGTCCCAGGTGTACAGGACCCACTTCTCTCGCCTGAACATGAAGGGTGTGTATGCTGGTTCCCGCTACGTGGGTGTTGGTGTAGGACACGTCCAGATAGGCCATGCCTTCCTGACGAGGTCAGCATGTGACCCCAGGTCCAGCAGACAGGTGGCGCTACAGGTGTTGCACCATCACCTTGAGCCGCTAGAGTCCATCGCCAAGTGTGTCGAGATGAACTGGATGGCTATTCTGGTGAGTTCTCGCATATTCAGTCTTTTTGATAGGTTTAGTATTTTTCAGCCATTGTGATTTGATGCTTCTTTGTATTCTTTTCCATGCTGGCATTAGTACATATTGATACCTAACATTCTGTATAACACTGATATAGCTTGATAGTCCATGCTGGCATTAGTACATATTGATACCTAACATTCTGTATAACACTGATATAGCTTGATAGTCCATGCTGGCATTAGTACATATTGATACCTAACATTCTGTATAACACTGATATAGCTTGATAGTCCATGCTGGCATTAGTACATATTGATACCTAACATTCTGTATAACACTGATATAGCTTGATAGTCCATGCTGGCATTAGTACATATTGATACCTAACATTCTGTATAACACTGATATAGCTTGATAGTCCATGCTGGCATTAGTACATATTGATACCTAACATTCTGTATAACACTGATATAGCTTGATAGTCCATGCTGGCATTAGTACATATTGATACCTAACATTCTGTATAACACTGATATAGCTTGATAGTCCATGCTGGCATTAGTACATATTGATACCTAACATTCTGTATAACACGGATATAGCTTGATAGTCAATGCTGGCATTAGTACATATTGATACCTACCATTCTGTATAACACTGATATAGCTTGATAGTCAATGCTGGCATTAGTACATGTTGATACCTACCATTCTGTATAACACTGATATAGCTTGATAGTCCATGCTGGCATTAGTACATATTGATACCTACCATTCTGTATAACACAGATATAGCTTGATAGTCAATGCTGGCATTAGTACATATTGATACCTACCATTCTGTATAACACGGATATAGCTTGATAGTCCATGCTGGCATTAGTACATATTGATACCTACCATTCTGTATAACACAGATATAGCTTGATAGTCCATGCTGGCATTAGTACATATTGATACCTACCATTCTGTATAACACTGATATAGCTTGATAGTCAATGCTGGCATTAGTACATGTTGATACCTACCATTCTGTATAACACTGATATAGCTTGATAGTCAATGCTGGCATTAGTACATATTGATACCTACCATTCTGTATAACACTGATATAGCTTGATAGTCAATGCTGGCATTAGTACATGTTGATACCTACCATTCTGTATAACACTGATATAGCTTGATAGTCAATGCTGGCATTAGTACATGTTGATACCTACCATTCTGTATAACACTGATATAGCTTGATAGTCAATGCTGGCATTAGTACATATTGATACCTACCATTCTGTATAACACTGATATAGCTTGATAGTCCATGCTGGCATTAGTACATATTGATACCTACCATTCTGTATAACACGGATATAGCTTGATAGTCCATGCTGGCATTAGTACATATTGATACCTACCATTCTGTATAACACAGATATAGCTTGATAGTCAATGCTGGCATTAGTACATATTGATACCTACCATTCTGTATAACACAGATATAGCTTGATAGTCAATGCTGGCATTAGTACATATTGATACCTACCATTCTGTATAACACTGATATAGCTTGATAGTCCATGCTGGCATTAGTACATATTGATACCTACCATTCTGTATAACACGGATATAGCTTGATAGTCCATGCTGGCATTAGTACATATTGATACCTACCATTCTGTATAACACAGATATAGCTTGATAGTCAATGCTGGCATTAGTACATATTGATACCTACCATTCTGTATAACACAGATATAGCTTGATAGTCAATGCTGGCATTAGTACATATTGATACCTACCATTCTGTATAACACAGATATAGCTTGATAGTCAATGCTGGCATTAGTACATGTTGATACCTACCATTCTGCATAACACTGATATAGCTTGATAGTCAATGCTGGCATTAGTACATATTGATACCTACCATTCTGTATAACACAGATATAGCTTGATAGTCCATGCTGGCATTAGTACATATTGATACCTAACATTCTGTATAACACTGATATAGCTTGATAGTCCATGCTGGCATTAGTACATATTGATACCTAACATTCTGTATAACACTGTATAGCTTGATAGTCCATGCTGGCATTAGTACCTATTGATACCTAACATTCTGTATAACACTGATATAGCTTGATAGTCCATGCTGGCATTAGTACATATTGATACCTAACATTCTGTATAACACTGTATAGCTTGATAGTCCATGCTGGCATTAGTACATATTGATACCTACCATTCTGTATAACACTGATATAGCTTGATAGTCAATGCTGGCATTAGTACATATTGATACCTACCATTCTGTATAACACGGATATAGCTTGATAGTCCATGCTGGCATTAGTACCTATTGATACCTAACATTCTGTATAACACTGATATAGCTTGATAGTCCATGCTGGCATTAGTACATATTGATACCTAACATTCTGTATAACACTGATATAGCTTGATAGTCCATGCTGGCATTAGTACATATTGATACCTAACATTCTGTATAACACAGATATAGCTTGATAGTCAATGCTGGCATTAGTACATATTGATACCTAACATTCTGTATAACACTGATATAGCTTGATAGTCCATGCTGGCATTAGTACATATTGATACCTAACATTCTGTATAACACAGATATAGCTTGATAGTCAATGCTGGCATTAGTACATATTGATACCTAACATTCTGTATAACACAGATATAGCTTGATAGTCCATGCTGGCATTAGTACATATTGATACCTACCATTCTGTATAACACAGATATAGCTTGATAGTCAATGCTGGCATTAGTACATATTGATACCTACCATTCTGTATAACACTGTATAGCTTGATAGTCCATGCTGGCATTAGTACATGTTGATACCTACCATTCTGTATAACACTGATATAGCTTGATAGTCCATGCTGGCATTAGTACATATTGATACCTAACATTCTGTATAACACTGATATAGCTTGATAGTCCATGCTGGCATTAGTACATATTGATACCTAACATTCTGTATAACACTGATATAGCTTGATAGTCCATGCTGGCATTAGTACATATTGATACCTAACATTCTGTATAACACTGATATAAGCTTGATAGTCCATGCTGGCATTGGTACATATTGATGCCTAACATTCTGTATAACACTGATATAAGCTTGATGGTCCATGCTGGCATTGGTACATATTGATACCTAACATTCTTCTGTATAACCACGGATATAAGCTTGATGGTCAATGCTGGCATTAGTACATATTGATACCTACCATTCTGTATAACACTGATATAAGCTTGATAGTCAATGCTGGCATTGGTACATGTTGATACCTACCATTCTGTATAACACTGATATAAGCTTGATGGTCCATGCTGGCATTGGTACATATTGATACCTACCATTCTGTATAACACAGATATAGCTTGATAGTCAATGCTGGCATTAGTACATATTGATACCTACCATTCTGTATAACGGATATAGCTTGATAGTCCATGCTGGCATTAGTACATATTGATACCTACCATTCTGTATAACACTGATATAGCTTGATAGTCAATGCTGGCATTAGTACATGTTGATACCTACCATTCTGTATAACACTGATATGGCTTGATAGTCAATGCTGGCATTAATTTACATATTGATACCTACCATTCTGTATAACACTGATATGGCTTGATAGTCAATGCTGGCATTAGTACATGTTGATACCTACCATTCTGTATAAACTGATATGGCTTGATAGTCAATGCTGGCATTGGTACATGTTGATACCTACCATTCTGTATAACACTGATGTAGCTTGATAGTCAATGCTGGCATTGGTACATATTGATACCTACCATTCTGTATAACACTGATATGGCTTGATAGTCCATGCTGGCATTGGTACATATTGATACCTACCATTCTGTATAACACGGATATAGCTTGATAGTCCATGCTGGCATTAGTACATATTGATACCTACCATTCTGTATAACACAGATGTAGCTTGATAGTCAATGCTGGCATTAGTACATATTGATACCTACCATTCTGTATAACACAGATATAGCTTGATAGTCAATGCTGGCATTGGTACATATTGATACCTACCATTCTGTATAACACTGATATAGCTTGATGGTCCATGCTGGCATTGGTACATATTGATACCTACCATTCTGTATAACACGGATATAGCTTGATAGTCCATGCTGGCATTAGTACATATTGATACCTACCATTCTGTATAAACACAGATATAGCTTGATAGTCAATGCTGGCATTAGTACATATTGATACCTACCATTCTGTATAACACAGATATGGCTTGATAGTCAATGCTGGCATTAGTACATATTGATACCTACCATTCTGTATAACACAGATATGGCTTGATAGTCAATGCTGGCATTAGTACATGTTGATACCTACCATTCTGCATAACACTGATATAAGCGATAGTCAATGCTGGCATTAGTACATATTGATACCTACCATTCTGTATAACACAGATATAGCTTGATAGTCCATGCTGGCATTAGTACATATTGATACCTAACATTCTGTATAACACTGATATAGCTTGATAGTCCATGCTGGCATTAGTACATATTGATACCTAACATTCTGTATAACACTGTATAGCTTGATAGTCCATGCTGGCATTGGTACCTATTGATACCTAACATTCTGTATAACACTGATATAGCTTGATGGTCCATGCTGGCATTAGTACATATTGATACCTAACATTCTGTATAACTTGCTGTATGGCTTGATGGTCCATGCTGGCATTGGTACATATTGATACCTACCATTCTGTATAACACTGATATGAAGCTTGATGTAGTCAATGCTGGCATTAGTACATATTGATACCTACCATTCTGTATAACACGGATATAAGCTTGATAGTCCATGCTGGCATTAGTACCTATTGATACCTAACATTCTGTATAACACTGATATAGCTTGATAGTCCATGCTGGCATTGGTACATATTGATGCACCTAACATTCTGTATAACACTGATATAGCTTGATAGTCCATGCTGGCATTAGTACATATTGATGCCTAACATTCTGTATAACACAGATATAGCTTGATAGTCAATGCTGGCATTAGTACATATTGATACCTAACATTCTGTATAACACTGATATAGCTTGATAGTCCATGCTGGCATTAGTACATATTGATACCTAACATTCTGTATAACACAGATATAGCTTGATAGTCAATGCTGGCATTAGTACATATTGATACCTAACATTCTGTATAACACAGATATAGCTTGATAGTCAATGCTGGCATTAGTACATATTGATACCTAACATTCTGTATAACACAGATATAGCTTGATAGTCAATGCTGGCATTAGTACATATTGATACCTAACATTCTGTATAACACAGATATAGCTTGATAGTCCATGCTGGCATTAGTACATATTGATACCTACCATTCTGTATAACACAGATATAGCTTGATAGTCAATGCTGGCATTAGTACATATTGATACCTACCATTCTGTATAACACTGTATAGCTTGATAGTCCATGCTGGCATTAGTACATGTTGATACCTACCATTCTGTATAACACTGATATAGCTTGATAGTCAATGCTGGCATTAGTACATATTGATACCTAACATTCTGTATAACACAGATATAGCTTGATGGTCAATGCTGGCATTAGTACATATTGATACCTACCATTCTGTATAGCACAGATATAGCTTGATAGTCAATGCTGGCATTAGTACATATTGATACCACCATTCTGTATAACGGATATAAGCTTGATGGTCCATGCTGGCATTAGTACATGTTGATACCTACCATTCTGTATAACTGCGGATGTAAGCTTGATGGTCAATGCTGGCATTAGTACATATTGATACCTAACATTCTGTATAACACAGATATAGCTTGATAGTCAATGCTGGCATTAGTACATATTGATACCTACCATTCTGTATAACACTGATATAGCTTGATAGTCAATGCTGGCATTAGTACATATTGATACCTACCATTCTGTATAACACTGATATAGCTCGATAGTCAATGCTGGCATTAGTACGTATTGATACCTACCATTCTGTATAACCACGGATATAGCTTGATAGTCAATGCTGGCATTGGTACATATTGATACCTACCATTCTGTATAACACTGATATAGCTTGATAGTCCATGCTGGCATTAGTACATATTGATACCTACCATTCTGTATAACACTGATATAGCTCGATAGTCAATGCTGGCATTAGTACATATTGATACCTACCATTCTGTATAACACAGATATAGCTTCGATGGTCCATGCTGGCATTGGTACATATTGATACCTACCATTCTGTATAACACTGATATAGCTTTCGATAGTCAATGCTGGCATTAGTACATATTGATACCTACCATTCTGTATAACACTGATATAGCTTGATAGTCCATGCTGGCATTAGTACATATTGATACCTACCATTCTGTATAACACTGATATAGCTTGATAGTCCATGCTGGCATTAGTACATATTGATACCTACCATTCTGTATAACACTGATATGGCTTGATAGTCAATGCTGGCATTGGTACATATTGATACCTACCATTCTGTATAACACAGATATAGCTTGATAGTCAATGCTGGCATTAGTACATATTGATACCTACCATTCTGTATAACACAGATATAGCTTGATAGTCAATGCTGGCATTAGTACATATTGATACCTACCATTCTGTATAACACAGATATAGCTTGATAGTCCATGCTGGCATTAGTACATATTGATACCTACCATTCTGTATAACACTGATATAGCTTGATAGTCAATGCTGGCATTAGTACATATTGATACCTACCATTCTGTATAAACACTGATATGGCTTGATAGTCAATGCTGGCATTAGTACATATTGATACCTACCATTCTGTATAACACTGATATAGCTTGATAGTCCATGCTGGCATTAGTACATATTGATACCTACCATTCTGTATAACACTGATATAGCTTGATAGTCCATGCTGGCATTAGTACATATTGATACCTACCATTCTGTATAACACAGATATAGCTTGATAGTCAATGCTGGCATTAGTACATATTGATACCTACCATTCTGTATAACACTGATATAGCTTGATAGTCCATGCTGGCATTAGTACATATTGATACCTACCATTCTGTATAACACAGATATAGCTTGATAGTCAATGCTGGCATTAGTACATATTGATACCTACCATTCTGTATAACACTGATATAGCTTGATAGTCCATGCTGGCATTAGTACATATTGATACCTACCATTCTGTATAACACGGATATAGCTTGATAGTCCATGCTGGCATTAGTACATATTGATACCTAACATTCTGTAAAACACAGATATAGCTCGATAGTCAATGTCGGAGACCTGCTTCACTGCAGGCATTGCTCACGCATCCAGCTGTCATACAGAGAAATAACTCAAACAATGTTAAAGCAACGATAATAGCAAAAACCCAACTCACTCACTCACTGAACAAAGATGGCTACTTTGGTGTATATTACTGGTTACAAGTAGGAACAAGCAGTCATATTTGTTGGGGGTAACAAGTGGCCCAGTGGTGCAATATTTTACTATGTGGACTTTCACCCTTTAGACAAATCAGAACCAGTTCATTGTTTCAATACCAGGTTTATAGCAACTTAATACCAATCCTTAATATGTCAACACCCATATCTTGATGGGCTTCATAGCAAGAGATGTCATACCTAGCCCCATGTTCAACTCAATGTGTGTCTGTCTGTGTGTCAGGTTGGCCCCCAGTCATGTGGGAAGTCCAGCATGGTGCGTCTGCTGTCGGAGCTGACCGGCACCACTCTCCATGTCCTACCTATGAACAGTGCCATGGACACCACTGAACTACTAGGAGGATTTGAACAGGTAGGCCAACCTTTCTGGGTATCCAGTTTGTATCAAGATTTATGCCACTTTCATGCCATAATGTCCATATCAAGTTTTGAACTGTTCCTTCTCATTTACATCAAAGGATTTGTGGCCCATCAATGCTACATTTATTTTACATACAAAATATTGGAATTAAACAAAGGAAAAACTGTTCCCACTCTGATAAGTATCCCTTACATGGAGGGAAACCTGTGAGCACTCCCTGTAGATCCTCTTGACTTCTACATTCCATCTACCTGGGTAGGTCATTGATACAATGTGTCCAAGAGTCATGTAAGAGATACAGTATGTTACAAGTGCCTTCACCATGTTTATTATGTTGGGGTTAGTGGCCACAGTGGCCGGGTCTGCTGGGTGCTGCAGTTACTTGCAGTTGTGTCCCTTGGGCAGTTCTGGAAACATTCAGTTGTGGTTTCAAATCCAGTTCCTCCAATTATGGTTTTTGTCCCCCGCTGCAACACGGAACGGGGGATTATGTATTCAGCGGCGTGTGCGGCACTTTGACTACTTTTCAAACTTATTAAACGTGATATCTCATAAAACATTGCACCCAATGTTTTCAGTTATGTTGACAGCCTACATTGGGTGATTATGCAGACACCAGTCATTTCAGGCATCTTGTATGTGAACCAAAAATAAAAAGTAGTAAATATAGATATTCCATTCTTTAGCGACGGGGGACATTGCCATATCAGTGGCAAACACTTGTTATGTTTGGGACCACCATTACCATAATCTTGCTTCCATCTTTGCTCACACAGTATGATATTGTAACAAATAGAGGGCCATCTTTGATGACAGCCATGATATTCCTGCCCGGGTGTCATCAGTTCTAAGGGGCAACGGTGGCCCATGTCACCTGACACCTCACTCTGTCCATGTCCTGTGTTTACTTTTGTCACCTACCGATATGTTTACTCTTCACCCACCCATGTTTACTCTTCACCCACCCATATGTTTATTCTTCACACACCCATATCCTGTGTTGAATCTTCACCCACTTATATGTTTATTCTTCACACACCCATATCCTGTTTACTTTCACCCATCCATATCCTGTGTTTACCTGTCACCCACCCACGTCCTGTGTTTTCTGATGTCACCCACCCATGTCCTGTGTTTACTCATCCACCCACCCATGACCTGTGTTTACTCATCACCCACCCATGACCTGTGTTTACTCATCACCCACTCATGACCTGTGTTTACTCATCACCCACCCATTTCCTGTGTTTACTCATCACCCACCCATGACCTGTGTTTACTGTTGTCACCCACCCATGTCCTGTGTTTACTCATCACCCACCCATGTCCTGTGTTTACTGATGTCACCCATCCATGTCCTGTGTTTACTGATGTCACCCACCCACATCCTGTGTTTACTGTTGTCACCCACCCATGTCCTGTGTTTACTCATCACCCACCCATGACCTGTGTTTACTGATGTCACCCATCCATGTCCTGTGTTTACTCATCACCCACCCACGTCCTGTATTTACTGTTGTCACCCACCCATGTCCTGTGTTTACTCATCAGCCACCCATGTCCTGTGTTTACTCGTCACCCACCCATGACCTGTGTTTACTCATCACCCACCCATGACCTGTGTTTACTGATGTCACCCATCCATGTCCTGTGTTTACTCATCACCCACCCATGTCCTGTGTTTACTCATCATCCACCCATGTCCTGTGTTTACTCATCACCCACCCATGTCCTGTGTTTACCGATGTCACCCACCCATATCCTGTGTTTACTCATCACCCACCCATGACCTGTGTTTACTCATCACCCACCCATGACCCCTGTTTACTCTTCACCCACCCATTACCTGTGTTTACTCATCACCAACCCATATCCTGTGTTTGCCGATGTCACCCACCCATGTCCTGTGTTTACTCGTCACCCACCCATGACCTGTGTTTACTCATCACCCACCCATGACCTGTGTTTACTGATGTCACCCATCCATATCCTGTGTTTACTGATGTCACCCATCCATATCCTGTGTTTACCTGTCACCCACCCATGTCCTGTGTTTACTGATGTCACCCATCCATATCCTGTGTTTACTCATCACCCACCGATGACCTGTGTTTACTAATGTTACCAATCCATATCGTGTGTTTACCTGTCACCCACCCATGTCCTGTGTTTACTGATGTCACCCATCTATGCCTTGTGTTTACTCATGACCCATCCATGTCCTGTGTTTAATCATCACCCACCCATGACCTGTGTTTACTCATCACCCGACCATGACCTCTGTTTACTCATCATCCACCCATGACCTGTGTTTACTTATGTCAACCATCCATATCCTGTGTTTACTCATCACCCACCCATGACCTGTGTTTACTGATGTTACCAATTTATATCGTGTGTTTACCTGTCACCCACCCATGTCCTGTGTTTACTCGTGACCCATCCATGTCCTGTGTTTACTCATCACCCACCCATGACCTGTGTTTACTCATCACCCACCCATGTCCTGTGTTTACTCATCACCCACCCATGACATGTGTTTACTCATCACCCACCCATGACATGAGTTTACTCATCATCCACCCATGTCCTGTGTTTACTGATGTCACCCATCCATGTCCGTGTTTACTTATCTCCCACCCATGAGGTTTTTTACTCTTCACCGATCCATATCCTGTGTTTACTTTTCACCCACCCATGACATGTGTTTACTCATCACCCATCCATATCCTGTGTTTACTCATAACCCACCCCTGTCCTGTGTTTACTGATGTCACCCATCCATCTCCTGTGTTAACTCATCACCCACCCATATCCTGTGTTTACTGATGTCACCCATCCATCTCCTGTTTACTAATCACCCACCCATGTCCTGTGTTTACTCATCATCCACCCATGTCCTGTGTTTACTCATCACCCACCCATGTCCTGTTTACTCATCACCCATCCATGACCTTTGTTTACTCATCACCCACCCATGTCCTGTGTTTACTCATCACCCACCCATGTCCTGTGTTTACCGATGTCACCCATCCATATCCTGTGTTTACTCATCACCCACCCATGACCTGTGTTTACTCATCACCCATCCATGTCCTGTGTTTATTCATCACCCACCCATGACCTGTGTTTACTCATCACCCACCCATGACGTGTGTTTACCGATGTCACCCACCCATATCCTGTGTTTACTCATCACCCACCCATGACCTGTGTTTACTCATCACCCACCCATGACCTGTGTTTACTCTTCACCCACCCATGACCTGTGTTTACTCATCACCCACCCATGACCTGTGTTTACTCATCACCCATCCATGTCATGTGTTTACCGATGTCACCCACCCATATCCTGTGTTAACTCATCACCCATCCATATCCTGTGTTTACTCATCACCCACCCATGACCTGTGTTAACTAATGTTACCAATCCGTATCGTGTGTTTACCTGTCACCCACCCATGTCCTGTGTTTACTCTTCACCCACCCATTACCTGTGTTTACTGATGTCACCCATCTATGCCCTGTGTTTACTCTTCACCCACCCATTACCTGTGTTTACTCATAACCAACCCATGTCCTGCGTTTACTGATGTCACCCACCCATGACCTGTGTTTACTCTTCACCCATCCATGTCGTGTTTACTCTTCACCCACCCATGTCCTGTGTTTACTGATGTCACCCACCCATGACCTGTGTTTACTCATCACCCACCCATGACCTGTGTTTATTCTTCACCCACCCATGTCCTGTGTTTACTGATGTCACCCACCCACGTCCTGTGTTTTCTCTTCACCCATCTAGTCCTGTGTTTACTGATGTCAGCCACCCATGTCCTGTGTTTACTCATCAGCCACCCATGTCCTGTGTTTACTCATCAGCCACCTATGTCCTGTGTTTACTCATCAGCCACCCATGACATGTGTTTACTCATCACCCACCCATGACATGTGTTTACTCATCACCCACCCATGTCCTGTGTTTACTCATCACCCACCCATGACATGTGTTTACTCATCATCCACCCATGTCCTGTGTTTACTGATGTCACCCATCCATGTCCGTGTTTACTTATCTCCCACCCATGAGTTGTTTTACTCATCACCCATCCATGTCCTGTGTTTACTCATCACCCACCCATGAGTTTTTTTTACTCATCACCCATCCATATCCTGTGTTTACTTTTCACCCACCCATGACATGTGTTTACTCATCACCCACCCCTGTCCTGTGTTTACTGATGTCACCCATCCATCTCCTGTGTTTACTCATCACTATCCATGTCCTGTGTTTACTCATCACCCATCCATGACCTGTGTTTATTCACGACCCATCCATGTCCTGTGTTTACTCATCACCCATCCATGTCCTGTGTTTACTCATCACCCATCCATGTCCTGTGTTTACTCATCACCCATCCATGTCCTGTGTTTACTCATCACCCATCCATGTCCTGTGTTTTACTCATCACCCACTCATAGTCTTAAGCTTGTGGTTTATGTGTTCGCTCACCACAGTGAAGCCTTTGGTTTGATTCTTACATATGTACTGTATGTGAAGCTTGATGTCTCCACGGGACTTTCTTACAGAATGTGGTTACAACACCTTACCAACAGAAATAAGTTATCACAGAGACTGGATGAATATATAATACTTTAAACTTTATTCATATGATCTACCACACTTGCTGATCAGCCGACTATGGCCGCCATGTTGCTCAATATCCAGAACAGGCTGCTCACACCTAATACCTTGTAAAGGTTCAGATAGGGTGTATGGTTTCTGACAGACATTAGAACATTGTTGCCAGGTTGATGTTAATGTTCCTGTCACAAGAGGACACATGGGAGTCCAGTACTGCGTCACGGTGTGTGCTACTGTCTGTGTGTTAACTGTCTTTCAGTTTAATGCCACTGAAATATCCAAGAAATAGTACTGGGTTTGAAAGTCAGCTTTGGCTTCTTGTGAGTTAACTGGTACTACAGCCAGGATGTTCTGTCTGTGACAAGATTGGGATGTTTTCCTTCATATAAGTCTTTCTATGTACCGGAACAACTGGTCCAGCTGATGGTTTTACCTCCTTCCATTTGTTGTTGAAGACAGTGAAACTGTAGGGCCCCAGCAGCATCCGTCACCTTTCTGCTTTTGTTTGTTTGTTTGTTTCAGCAATATTCCAACACGCCTGTAAGTCCAGGCGGAACAATCAAGTGATGGATGCTGTGTTGATATTACTTTGTCTACAATTGTGATGAGAGTTTCAAGTGTCTGAAAATAGTTTGTTAAACTTCACTCATCTTCTGCAAAGTTTGCATCTTGTAAATGATTAATTCCAGTGTTATATGTCGTACTTTTACGACATGTTACCATTGCAAACATCGTGATATGTGGCAGAAGTAAGCACTCTATTGTCGAAGCAAGTCGCAAGTACATTCGCTCGTGTGCATTAATCTTTCTACTAAATAATCAACCATTACTGAACGCCAGTGCCGACTGGTGTCACTTCATGCTGGCATAGTGTTCGCTAGCAGGTCACCTGTTTTGTTTTTTTCATTTTCTGCATCTGGAGACCAGTTGAGAAGAATTAATAGATGAACTGACACTACTCAAACTTGTGTCATATTTTCCGCCTCACACAATTACAATCAACAGATTTATCACATCTAACCACCCTAGTCTCACCATTTGTATCGACTGATTCCTTGATATGTATTGATGGTCCCCATGACTTCCAGGTTTCACTGTTTGTGTGTTTCATGGGAAGGAATGTTTATAACAATTCACTGATTCCAACAGCTCCTCTCACCACATCAGTATATCAGTGTGGATCCCTCGTAGTTTAAAGTAAGCGGTTGCTCGGACGATGCAAACCTCTCATTGTCACTTCCGTCAGGATCGTCGTTCATGGCGCCACCTCGAAGTGGCTGATGGGATGGGGTAGACTCAAAGTTCTCATTCATGAATCCTGTGTCGTAAGCTTTGTACTTCTGATGTAGTTTGTGTCGGAGTGCTTCTTTAGATCGGGACGTCTTCATGGGCAACGAGTTGCTGTACACCTCTCTCGTGAGAGTCTGACGTTGAAAAAGGTCGTACAGTATCATGCCGCAGAAGACAGGTGTCGTGAGTGGATGAGTCCAAGCGAAGATGGTGAGGTATCGGTACACGTGGGCAGGCTGGGCGTAGTGAATGTCAAACAGTGTGAGGAGGAACAGAGGATACCAGAACAAAGTGTACGACCCCACCATCATCACCATAATGATCACACGACGCATGTAGATCTTCAAGTTCTTTAAAGCTTTCTTTTTGGCGATGTCATCAAATTCTATGTGATGTTCATCGTCTGAGGAATCGGTTGCATTCATTTCCATGGAAATCGTTTGATGGATCAGTGTCCATCTGTGACATTTAGACTGAGAATGTAACTTGCGATAAAATTGCACGAAACTGATGACAGACACCATCAAGGCTCCCGACACCAACAGCACCCACAGAACATGGATCACATAGTTGCTTGGTTTGCCGTAGAGGAAGACACAGCTGCCGATGTCGTTGTTGTACTCAGTGGTGCCAGGGATGAACACGACACCAAGGTGGAGGAGGATGGTGGTGAACCAGATCATGAAGAGCCCGAAGACGATACAGCAGTAGTCTCCCCTTGTTTGACGTTTGCCCTCCTGCAGCTGGTACTCTTCGTTGATGAGGATGGCGAGAAGGTTGTAGGCAGTAAGCGTCATCAGGAAGATGTACGAGGCCCCCAGAGTGTTACAGTACTGCACATGTGTGTTCATTAGTAAACTGTAGCCAAATGGAATACACATCAGCGACTTGATAATGTCCAGCAAGCAGTGATGACAGAGGAAAGCAGAAGAGGACTTTCGGAAACTACGGATTACAAAGATGGCTGCTATTGTTACCAGGTTGCCAAGGCCACCTATGACTGCCACCATAATCAAGATGGCTCCCTCTGTACGTTCGACTGGGGTCGGTGGCAGCCATGTGTAGTTCTCCACCGACACAGGCCCATCGTCATGGGTGGCGATGATGTACTCTTGTATCATTATGAGGAGGGTGATGAACTGCTGTCCTCGAGTCAGTCTGTGCAGATGTTATAATTGGATGTGCATACTTCTTGTAGAGTCACAGGATTGGATAGTTTTTAAGTTGATCTCAATTCAGTTATTTGATCCTGAGCATTGATTCATGGAGCTTATAACCATTCTTTTTTGTCAAGATACTATTTTCCATCATCTTTGTTCATCAATAGCAGGCGTTTCACCATGTTGTGAAAACTGTCAAATCAAGGATGCTTGGCTTCAAGTACCACCTGCAAAAAATCAATAAAGTCTTTTAGGAATATGAAATTATAACATTTTTCAAAGTACTTTCAAAAAACATTTTCTCAAATATTCACTTTTTTTAGCAAACTTTCTTAAAATGTGTATGTTTTTTGCTATGAAGTGAGTGTTGACATTTTACCATCTCCAGCAACTGTTGGTTTGCTTTCTGTTAGTAGACGAGGTATATCTGAATGGGAACATGGTCAGAGCAGCTCTTGTATAAATAAAGTGTTTTTGAGTGTGTTTTATAGTTAAGTTAGTTACAGTCTGATAGCTCTATTTCCCAGGCACGTGATACAGAGTGATGCTTTCCAGTCAGTTTTTCCCAAGCGTTTGCAGCGAGCTGATCGACAGGTCTAAGTGAAACTAATTCATATCAGTGTGTGATCAAAACTCATGATTCCGTGATTTAGCTGTGAAATTCTGGCAAATTAATAATCTGTCCATTTGTCAATACCGCCATGTGAGATTGATGTCTCTCTGCACAGTCCACGAGCAAGCATCTCAGGCTTCACAAATGTGCACGGCAAATTACAAACGTAATAAGGTTTCTCTTCATCGCTATACGCTCCTTTACGATTCACTCGCAACATGCCGTGTACCTCAGATAATTAATTTTTCTCTTGGAAGTGATTGTAGAAAAAACGTGAGGACTGTTTTATCTTATAAACCTTAAATCAATGTTTGAGTCGAGTGGGCTCTGCTGGGCTCAACTTGTGGCTCTGGCCGATTATGGCCCGTCTGGGCCATCACTCTCAATAGCCGACTTGGCTCGCTACAGGGGCAGCCTCTCACAATAATGTCTTTTTGATGGGATATAACTTTCTAAATACACACTTTTACATCTCACTAACTTAGAAATATTTCACTTGTTTCATATTTTGTCAAATAAACTAGACATTTTTCATCTCAGGAATGTTGGTTGTTGATCAAAAAGAAGCAGAGCTGTGTTTGTTTTATGGGATAACTTCCTGAAAATGAAAGATTAGACAGAAAACATAAATAAGACTGGATCAAAAATAGAATTGTTTCAAGATCCTGAAACAAAGGAGAAATAAATTTGGTTAACGAAATAGCTGGTAGAAATGATTGAAATCTATTAGGTCATGTTATGGTATAATGATAGTTTTGGCCACATTCAACTGAGATTTCTTCAATCATGTTATAAAGTATTGATTTTGTAGACTTTTTCATTCATCTTTATTGCGAAAGCAGGGAAAATGGATGCTTATAGGATACTATCGACCTGACGAATATTTAGACAAACTACATTGACATGCATCTCCTTTTCTATAAACAGAATGAAATATTTTGGGCAAACTTTTGAATATTTGAATTGTCCAACTGTGTAAGACTGTGTACTTTTTTACTATACTTCAGAGCTCTAAATCTAATTTTTGTTGGAGCAGTGCTGAAAAGATGAAGCATGTCTATGTCGTAGTGACCCTCAGTTAATAACTGATATACGAAGACCAGAATGGAGTGCCCCTTACTGCAGTAATGAACTAGATAAGTGCAGCACAAACAATGTTAGTGTTTCCTCTTATTTCATATTGTGTGATCAGGAACAGTTAGGGCCACAACAAGGATGAGTGTATCGGACCATCATGTATATATATTCATATATCGGTGCAGTAGGCATCATGAGAATCCCTGAATGAGCCAAGTGTTCCTTGTGTTCCTAGGGTGATGGTATTTGACCCTATCTGGCCAGGTTATAGATGGCAGTTTACAACCAGACATTAACTGTGTGAGTCTTCCTATCTGGTGAGCTCAGCTGAAGTCGACATGGCTGACAATAAAACGGCAGCACCAGAACATCAGCCAATGCTTCACAGCCTTTATGCCTTACTTTTATGTATTGTTGTGCAACATTTCAAAATGTACGCGACTTTCAAGTGTGGAGTCCTTTTACTTTTATGTCCTCCTTTGTTGAAGATGTGAAGGTTGTATGGGGCAGACGGAGATTGAAATAATCCTGTCTGTGAGAGATGTCACATGGGTTGTCTGCTGTCTCTAGATCTGCTAGGGACACTGGGAGGTACAGAAATCCTAAAGAGCCTACTTGGCGATGGCTATTAACAGTTTCAAAAGGCAAGCAGGATGAGTAATGCCCATTGATTGACTGTATCTCACAAAAGACAAACAGTCACCATCTTTCTGAGGACATTTGAAGCTGGCCATCTTCGGCCATATTGAAATGATCAATAAATTGTAAATTGTTAAGGGTTTTTTTAGTACCAAGGGTGATAATTTGATATTAATTTGATGCAAGTCACTGACCCAGCGTCTATTTAAGGCCTGCCTCAGTTAGAGATCCATGTCTATTCTGTCTACTCTTGCGGCTCCGTACCTCACTAAATCCTAAATTCAACAGCAATGCAAAGGGTACATTTCAGGAAAATGTAATTAAGTTTAAGTTATTAATCATTACGTGCTGTAAGTGAATGTAACAGGGATAGTTCATTTCATCAAATGATCGATTCAACCTCATTTGATGACTTAGCATCTAACAGACATAACAGAGGCCCAGGTTCTTCTTTTTGGGGCCTTGTATGACCAGCATCAGGCTGGTGGGCACTGGAGGCTCTGTATCTTCATATAAGAAAGATTGAAATTCTAGCCACCTCCAGACAGTATTCTTGACGGTCTTCATTAATCTTGGTGTTCACTTTCATGATGATGTGGAAAATACAGAACAATTCATTGATAGTTGTCAATATTTCATGTAAGTTCGATAAGTGGCATTGTTTAGGTAATACTATGTAGTTGGGTGAATAGCACTGGGCCACTGCAAAGCGCAGTTCATTTTGACGTTGATTTTAAGCTTATATGGATCCATTGTGTGATTGGCCTGGGCTGCATGGCTGGTAGATTTCCTCCGGAAGACAAAGTGTGACAGATGACATCTTAATGCATTCCGTGTCTATACTTCTTGTGATTGAACTTCCCTCTCATGATGACTTCCAGTAAGCCCCGGACTTACAACTTTAATATGGATGTGGAGATTATCAGATAACATTCTGTTATCCTTACCACTTACTTTACAAATTTAACCTACTTTCAATTCTGTGGTCTTGTATTTTATTTTGAAGTTAAAGGTTTATAGTAACTAAAGGTTTGATCTCAGTTCAATCATTAAATCCCTCCTGCTGATGATGTCTCATGTTGAACGTAGCCAGTATCTTCGTAACATATTAATTCCTTGCTTTTAAAGCATTAATGTCTCTTTGTTTGAGGAACAAACCTTGTGTGTTTAAGCTTGTGATGAAAGTGTCGCTGTCTTTTAAGTGTGAAGTTTAATGGATCATGTCCTTTTGAAGCGCTCCTTATTTTGCCTGAGACTCATCGTTTCAGATCAACACCTGATATTGTGGTAGATTCATGATGATTAAAGCCAAAAACTGTCAACCTTCTTCCTCACAAAAACACTAAATACACAACAAGCCTTTGAAACAAAGTATAGAGTAAGCTCCACATCTTGTCAAATCTAGAGAAAATGAGCTCTTTAGCACAGAGACGTCACTCTTCCATGGGAAGTAGTTTTTATCAATATTGGATCTCTCCGATTGATGTGTTCTTACTTGTCTCCACAATAGCGGTATCTGGCCAAGGATGAAATGTCAGTGGCTACACTGCAGTGCTAGACAGGATTGTGGCTCCTCTGTCGCTTAGTATCATCTAGTGGAACCGATCAGTCTCCTGCAGACAATCAGTCAGTTTGTATTGTGTGGAGATATTTGGCTCTTTAAGGAGATACACTGATTTTTATTTTAGGGTTCTCGTTCCATTAGTTCTGTTACTTGATGGTAGCAGGATTGCCTTGCCAAGAGAGGCCGTGTGGATAAATCATCACAGCTGCTTCGAGGCTTTTGAAGATAAAATGGAATAAAGGACAAATATTTCAGCTAATTTCCTTGTAACTGGTCTCAAACTACTTTTTACTGTTTTTCAATTTCCTATTTTATAGGTTTTGTTAATATTATTTAAAATGGATGATACAAAAATGTTTGGTTTATTTGTAAAGAAAGAATATTTTCATTTTCAAGCCAGGAGATGAAAGATATCAAGATGGAATGATTCTGCCTTCAGGGAATAGTTGTGTTAAAAATGGGGATTCTCTGAAATACCAAATTTAATCTGAAAACTTAATCTTAATTTTACAGAAGTTCTGCAATGAATGTGTGATGACCAAATGATGAGGATGACTTCTAACATCGTCTATGAGTAGTTGTCATGTTGATTGTGAGGAGTTCTATATTACTGAAAAGACTTTAAGGGACACAGATTCTTTCATATTACCTACTATGGTTAATCTGTCAGGACCCACGAAGACCCGAGTTAGAATTGGTCTGCAGTAACCCATGCTTGTCGTAAGAGGCGACTAACGGGATCGGGTGGTCAGGCTCGCTGACTTGGTTGACATACGTTATCATATCCCTATTACACAGATCGATGCTCATGATGTTGATCACTGGATTGTAGGGTCCAGACACGATTATTTTTCAAACTGCTGCCATATAGCTGTAATATTGCTGAGTGCGATGGAAATAATTAAACTCACTCACTCACTAATCTGTCAGGGCATCAAACATTAACTGTAGAAATATGAAATACTAAGTATTCCCTAGCTTCTTTTGAGTGGTATATAACCATGTAACCGAATGTACCATGGCAAGTGAGGTATGTCTTTGATACGTCTCTGGTTTCCAACATTGAAGTGGTACCAGAACTCCGCTATCCAATACAACATTGTGACTGCCAATAATTGATTCCTCAGCTCAGAAGGCTTGACTGATAGATTATAGGAGGATTATATCGACAGAGTCACAAAGAGGTTGAATAAGTCTTTTGGTAATACAGGTTAAATTTGACAGATATCCTCCAGAGCAAACATGGGAGAGTAATGATGGTGTGATGGTAGCGCTGATAGAGAGAGTGTGTGATGAGCGCGGACAGAGAATTAATCAGGCCCCCGCACTATCAAACACATCTCTGACAAACTCAAATTAAGTTTGTTAAATGCACGCCAAAATGCAGGGATCGGGGAGATCAATTTATCCGAAAAACAACTAATGTGTTGTGTTTAAGTGGGAGGCAAGTTGGCTCAGTGGAGGTAGTGTTGGTGTTATGTAACTCCATAGCCCTGGTTCAGATCCAACTCTCATTCTATCATTTTGGAAAATCAGGGTCTCTGTCATAACTTACACAACAGAGGCCCACATGGTCTATTCAGAACTGTAGCAAACAAATCTCAAATGGTACCAGAGACAGAAAGCAATGAATGGTAACAAATTGAGTAATATATAATCATATGTCCTGAAGGGTCGTTTGACTGTGCCAACCCAAGGCTGCTGTCATAAGTCTTTTCAACATTTTCAACTCCTCCTGAAGGGATTGGCAGGAATTGTCTGTTTCTTAAACTAGGGGTTCAAGTTTTTCAAGGCATCAAATTGAATTTTCAGTGAACCCCCAGTAAGTATCTTTTAAAGAATGAATAAATCAGAAAAATATAAATTCAATAAATTTGTTTTCCAAAACTTAAAATGCCAGAAGCCTGAAACATCGTGCATAACAGGGTCACCATATGTTGTTCCCAGTTCAAGTTATCTTCATCACAGATCAGGTATGGCTGTCATCAGACATTGAAAATACTTGGTCATTGTGAATCATCAATCATTAACATCATCTCCTCAGAAACCACAGTACCAATGTCAGTGAAACTTTGCAAGCTTGTTTTAATCAATGATGACACCTAAAAACCATTCATGGATTCATATTGGATTTTCAATATGGCCTCCATGGCCATATTGAAATAGCTATATCTGACCCTTTCTTGGTCTGTTTTGCTGAAGTTTATGTCATGTGTAGTAAGTAGTGGGTCTCAACATATAAGTTTATTATAGAATTAAAGTGTTGTTCATTAACATTGCATCAGTTTATACAGTAATACATCAAGCATTGTGGAAGTTTGGTTCCTTGTGCCATACTTGTTTATACCTTCATTCTTACTATTTATACAGGAAATATTATAACAGCATTCTTTACAGTATCTTTCATTGAGATGCCATGTCTGTTGACAGCTTGAACAGCTGACTACTACGGCTGAGCTCCTGTGCCAGAGTGCTGTATTGTGTGAATTAAAATTTAGATTGATCAAATCCTTTTGATATACTGGTATGTTTTCATCCAATGCCATTTCTTTTGTTAGGCGGATATATTTCGCTATGTGGAAGAAGTCGGAACTGAGGTCAAGAGGTTTGTGAAACATATACAGAGGAGCTGTTGTGTCAACAGGCGACCCTGACCTCTACTACAGTACAAGCGTTGGATGTCCGTGAATGGTCCATCTCGTAACTTAATCATCACAAGGTAATAATAAACATATTGTTTTGACTTCTAGATACAAGTTATATTCATTTATCAATGGAAGCATTTCTGCTCCACTTGTGGTCATGTATGATTCAATGATGATGATGATGATATGATAACTTTATTATGATCATATTATGTTATTAGCCAAACTGATATTGCTTGTGTGAAATCAAATGAGATATCGTTTTGACAGTAAGATTTTATTACACAATGCCTAGAGGGTCATCCAGTTACATGACTTACTTATGCTATGATGTCATTGACTTGGTGACATCACAATACTATGACATGGCTGCTCTACAGAAGTCTAATGGCAGTACCATGTTCAGCGATGTACATTTTTCATTGAAAACTAATGAAAAGTGATTTTTGATGATAAATAGAATCTCACCCCCAGCAAGCCTCTGATATTTGTAACTTTGTCAACTTGTGATATATTTGATATAAAAAAACACTCAGGTGAGATTCTCTGTTCATCTGGGCAATGGTCAGTGCTTGATTATCCTGCTATCCAGAGAGAATGAATGAATGAGTGAGTGAGTTAGTGATTCACTTTTGACTGTGTCAGCCGGTTTGCCGCTATAGCTGTACTAACTGACTGACTGACTGAGTTTAGTTTTACGCCGCTTTTAGTAATATTCCAGCAATATCACGGCGGGGGACACCAGAAATGGGCTTCACACATTGTACCCATGTGGGGAAGCTGTACTAACAGTGTATTCAGCTGGCCATGTTGTTTTTGATGGGGACTCTGGTAATTATCTACAGCTTTAACTGATGACAATGTAACAAACTCACTCACTTATAAAAATCTGATATAATTTGACACAGCTGTTATTGAACTTGTGGACTGCAGGCCCAGCTTAGTTGACATCTCTTTGCAAGACATTCTTGACAGAAGAGTGTTTAAGTTTTTTACTTGATCTCATCTGAACTGCTTGATGCATGAAAGCTGGTCCAATTACCGCAGAAAGCTCTCAGTGTCACTATCTGTTCCATGTGAAGTTGACAAAGTAGAAGGTCACAGAGTATAAAAATTTGCTGAAGGAAATTAGACTTTGTCATATGTTGATTGTCTCCAGATATGTATTTGAATCTCGTTAAGGGTTGAAAAAAACACCATGCTTTTTATTAATTAAACCAAGGGTCACTAGTATGATTAGACAAGAACACCTTGTCAACCTCAGCACAATGTCAACTTTAACACAATGAAAAACTTTAATGTTAATGTTCTTCTTTAATGATGTTCGTTACAAGCTATTGGGTAGTTTAGTGGATAAAGTGTTGGTTTGTCATGCCTCAAGGCCCTAGTTCTTTTCCTAACATAGGTAAGATGTGGAAGTCCATTTCTGGTCTCTCTCTCACACTCTCACTTTCACACTCACTCTCACTCTCACTCTCTTTCTCACTCTCCGCTCACTCTCCGCTCACTCTCTCTCTCTCTCTCCATAAGCTGTAGCTTTCGCTCTCGCTCCTCTTTCTCTCCATCCATTTTTCACTTCACTCTCCTCTCCCTCTCTCTCTCTCCTCCTTTCACTCTTTCCTTTGTCCTCCATCCACTGTCCTCTCTGTCTCACTCTCTCTTTCCTCACTTTCCTTTCCTCTCACCTTCCTCTTATCCTCACTATCCTCTCACTGTCCTTTCTCATTTTCCACTCTTCCTTTCACTCTCCTCTCCTTCTTTCCTTTCCACTCTCCTTTGCTTTCACTCTCCATCTTTCCTCTCTCTCACTCACTCTCCTTTCCTTCTCTCCTCATCTGCTTTCCTTTTCCTTCCTTTCCTCCACTTCCTCCTTTCCAGCTCTCCTTTCACCTTCCTCTCCTCTCTTCCATTCCTTTCTCCTCCTTTCCTCTCCTCCTCCTCAGTTCACTCTGTCCTCCTCCTTACTCTCCACCTTTCCTCTCTTTCCACTCTTTACTCTTCACTTTCACTCTCCTTTCCTTTCCTCCTCTCACCTCCTTCCTCACTTCCTTTCCTTCCTTTCCTTTCCTCCTCCTCACTCACTTGCTCTCCTCTGCTTTCACTCCTTTCCTCTCCTCTCCTTTCACTCTCACTCTCCTCTCCTTTCCACTCTCACTCTTGGACTCTCTCAGCTCCTATCCTTGCTCACTTTCCTTTCACTTTCAACTCTCTCGCTCCTTCACTTTCCTCACTTTCACTGCTCACTCTCACTGTCCTCTCACTTTCACTTTCCTCTGTCTCACTTTCCTGCTCACTGTCCTTGGACTGCTCTCTCCTCACTTTCCTCCTTTCCCTCCGTTCTTTTCATGTCACTTCCTCTTCTCACTTTCCTCTCCTTTCCTCTCCTCCTCCTTTCACTCTCTCACTTTCACTTTCCTCTCACTCTCTTTCCTCTCTCTCTCACTCTTTCACTCCTCACTCCTTCTCCGTTCCTTTCCTCTCCTCTCCTTCCTCCTCTCACTTTCACTCTCTCTCCTCCTTCCTCCTCCTCCTCCTCCTCCATCTCACTCTCACTCACCTACTTTCTCTGACATACACTTTCATCTGTTTCCAGCTTTAAAGACAAAAGAAAAACCCTGCTCTCTCCATAGATTTGACCCCCACCTTCTGTTTGATTTTGTGGGATGGGTCATGGATGATATGTTAATACTAAAATAGATGAGTCATGAAATTGTTATACACTAAGTAAATGTATTATTTTTTCCAAAATTTTCTTTCATCATGTGAGAGACACAAATAAAACACATGTGACAATCAGTATTGTGATCTTCACATCCTGTGTGATATGATGGCGTTTACCCGTGGGAAGTAAACAGACCTGCAGGTTCCAGTGTACGATCACAGAGACAAGGATGGGCTCTGACTGTACAGATCAATCCTGCCATCACTAGATGTATAACACTGACAGGAAACATGCCGCTGTGGACCAATCCATGTCCCATCAAGAGATTCACTGGCATCGTCTGAAATGGTTACCTGGGTGTATGCCGCCATATTGGTGGAATATTGCTGGAGTGTGGTATTTAACAACAAACAAACCAACCCTAGGTGTACACCACCATATTGGTGGAATATTGCTGGAGCGTGGTGCTTCACAACAAACAAACAAACCCTGGGTTTACAAAGCAATATCAGACGTAAGGTGATCGTGACTCACATATCTATAATAATCTGAAGACAGTCGTAGCACTATTTACAACGACACCATGGGTGGTAGGACTGAATTGCAGGGATTATTGGTTAAAATTAATCCCAAGCAACCATTGTTTGTCAGACAAGATGATGAAATAAGGTGGGGAATATTGCTCACGGAGTTGATTGTTTGTTATTATACCTCAGGGGTGTAGATGATTGCAGTTGATATCAATCACAGGTTTGTATGGTCCAGATGGGGTCAAACCTGGACCTTCAGCATAAGAGGCAAATGTTAACCACAAGACTGTCCCATTATAATAAGGTCACATCGTAAAATATAACTTCCAGAAAGTCAGATAGGTATTTGTCTTTACAAAAGTAGGGAAATCCAGTACATATGTAATCTCAGTGAGTGAGTGAGTGAGTTTAGTTTTATGCCGCTTTTAGCAATATTCCAGGAATATCACGGTTTGGGGACACCAGAAATGGGCTGCACATATTCTGCCAATGTGGGGCATCAAACCTGGGTCTTCGGCATGACAAGCAAACACCTTAACCACAAGGCTACCCCACCACCCCTATATGCCATCTAAACATACATCATCTTGAATTGACTTAATGCATCCCAAGACTATGAAGAGCATAAACAACCAGAAACCAGTTAATATAACAAGAGATTAATTTCATCACTTGAGAAATCACTTTCTTTCAGGAATATAGCATCATGGATCTTCTTGTTTTCTTGGTACTACAGTTTATTAGTAAGATGAATGGACTGGGTGTTCATTGAGAATTATAAGGAGACTTCCTTCAGTAAATATGTTAATATTCAGGAAGCTTATCATCATAAAAGTGTTATTTATTATTTTGAATCTATAGCAACTTGGCGAAATGACTTTCAGTATTGTGACTTTCCTTCTCTCCTATTCAGGATCAGGTCATGTGGTTTCCACTGTTGAAGAATATGAGTGTTTGAAGACCAAGGTGAAGGCCATCTGCTCAGTGTTGATGCTACTTCACAAGATCCACGACCAGAACAAACTGATGCAAGGTGGGTCCCGGGAATATTACTCCCCAGCATTATGACTTTGGAGAACTCCTCGACATCAAACTTTTACATTTTCAAACCCGGTATTTTGCAGATGTTAAAGAAAGTAGACTTGACAGGAATCTCTCCCCAGCCTGAATGTCTGATTGTGTTCCTTTGTGGGAGTTGGTTTGGAGCTTTAGTCTGTCAGACGGTTAAATCTGGGAATCACTGCAAGATTTAAAGGTTTAACTGTGGAGTCAGCCAAAGTTTCACCAATTCACTCAGCCATGTCTTCAGATTAATGCTTGGATGTTGGGGAGGTCATCATGACACTTGGTAATCGTTACTTTGACTTTGAAAATTGACTTGTTTATCTTTTTTGTTCTAAGTAATGTTTTATTCTGTCCGTTAGTGTTATATGCTGGGTACCATCACTAGTGTTATATGCTGGGTACCATCACTAGTGTTATATGCTGGGTACCATCACTAGTGTTATATGCTGGGTACCATCACTAGTGTTATATGCTGGGTACCATCACTAGTGTTATATGCTGGGTACCATCACTAGTGTTATATGCTGGGTACCATCACTAGTGTTATATGCTGGGTACCATCACTACTGTTATATGCTGGGTACCATCACTACTGTTATATGCTGGGTACCATAAGCTACCCATCACTGGTGTTATATGCTGGGTACCATCACTAGTGTTATTGCCCCTTAAAACTCCCCACTTGTGTTATAACCTGGGTCACTATCCACTAGTGCTGTACCTTGACACTACCCACTGGTCTTATAACCTGG